TCTAACTGTGAGAGATAATGTTATAAACAATATACATACAACAGTTTACATAAAAATATCTTAAATATAAAGAAGTGCTGTTACTTTGTTAATAAAATAAATACATTCTGAATAAAATTTCGAAAGACGAAATATTTTTTATAAATTATAGTCTTTATATGAAGATTTCTGATATTAAAACCTATAGTTTGTCCATTTTATTATAACTTTTTTGAAGTTTCGTATTGTTTAAGTTAAAATTTCATACAAATATTATTGTACTTCATGGACGGGTACCGCCCCCTTAGTGGTGTGCCACACATAACGACTACTACGATTGTGCCACAATTTACAAAACATGGACAAAACGTCCTGTAGGACATCACTATAACTTGTCAGTCGTCGAGCTGTCAAAAAACAATTAACAAAAGGGACAAACTATTTTAATGATATAGAGAAGATAATTGAGGTATTATTTATCGTAAAGAAAAGTATTAATTGATGTAAAAAGCTGTATATATTGTTTCTATATCAGATTCCTTCTTATAATAAATATCCAAAACCAAATTTACTATTTAAAAAACAAATGTTTGTTACCAAATGACGTTATAAAATGTAATTTAATATCCATATCATTGATATACAAAAACTCAAGATAAACAATTAGCGTCTTAGTGTCCTCAAAAAGAAGCGCATAAATAAATTGTGCGCTTTTATCAATCTCTTTCGTCCGTTGCTTTTCGGATGACAAAATTAAAACGCACGTTGTTTCATTTAAAAAAGTATTTTATATGGTGTGCGTAAGTTCGCATTTGTGTTTAGACACTTCGACCTTTCAAGTTTTGAATTTTATTCTTTGGTTTGACTTAACGTGACATGTCGACGCCACTTTTTGAAGGGATATTTGTTATGAATCTTTTATCTTATGTTTTATATATCAATGATATAAAATAATCGATTTTGATTTACATCTCAAAATTTCACACAATAATATCGATTAAAAATTGACCACAAATAAAACTGCTTACGAAACAAAAACTACGAATTTACGTAATGACGAGTATTTTTCAATGATTATATAATATCATTGTAATTAATTATTAGAATACAAAAATTCTCAAGTCTAAAAGAAAATAACCTACGAAGTATGTCACAGATAAAAAATATGGTTGTTTCCTTTAACTACAGAGTATATTAAAATTAAAAATAATTTACATATTTATAACTTACATAGGACTAATTGTTCAAAGTCGGTTAGAGTAAGGCACTACGTATGATACAAAAAAGTATACAAATCTTAGGTAACGTTTAGACTACACGCCATTATGAACCTTATACTATTAAAAATAAGGTCAAAATAAATTAACTATTAGGAATGTGCGGTAGTTCGAGAAACCATCGAATGAACGATTTCATTCGATTTATTAAAGGTTAATTGAAATTATCAATAAAAACACATCCCACTAACTTCATGACACAATATCAAAGTATTAAATTATATATTAATGACTTCTAGGGTTCCGTAAGATTGGAAGACATTGGTGATAGAGAAAAATACAAATTAAAATAAAAATTATAAATACTTATGTATAGTATTCAGCCCTTTTTAACATCCCACTGCTGGGCACGGGCATCCCTTCAATACGAGGGGGATCAGGTCATAGTCCGCCACGCTGGCCAAGTGCTGGTTGGCGGACTGAGCATGTCTTTCGAAAACTTAGGTTCTCTCAGATATGCAGGTTTCCTCACAATGTTTTCCGTAATCGTAAGACAAGTGGTAATCAAATATAAGAAATATATTAGAGGTGCGAGAATCGGGATTTAAACTTCACTCGGTTTCCCAAGTGAGCGCGTTACCACAGGGCTTCCATTACCCATTATATATTTACATATTTTTATATAATATAAAGGTATTTTGTTTGAAATCTTACACAAAAATGCAAAAAATCAGTAATAAACGTGGTAACTGTTATATGGCACTATAATTTAATACTGTAATTTAACATAATAATTTAAAAATAAAACATTTTAAACGTAAAATAAAATTTATATATCTTATTGACGGAACCCTAAATATAATGAAAAAAATAATCTTTTTTTTATATTGTATCGTTTTTTTAACAAAGACGCAAACAACGCATACTTAAGTCCTTTAATAGACGGGTGGTGTTGCCATTTATAGCAGTACTTCTGTTTCGTTATAAGCAAATATTTTTAGGGTGAATACATCGATCAAAAAGTACCAGCTAGATACACAATCCCATGCAAAAGTTCTCATTGCATTTGAGGTTCAATTGACATTGTTGTATATTTATTTCAACTAGAACTATTACCTAAGCGCCATTAGTGACAAGTTTTAAGAGAACTTTTGAATGGGATTGTGAATCTAATACTTTTTTGATCGATGACTAATGTACATATTTAATTCATTTTTGCATACAAAAATATTTTCATATTTCTATACAAAAAGGATAGAGTACTTTCGATACAAAAAAGTAGTAGAAACTTTCTATAGAACAATCCCATGTATTTATTTGATATATGACCTCGAGTTGCTCTGAATAATAACAAGTTGTTACATGATTAGTTAATTAGTTGAATTTCTTTGGTCTTTTTAGATATCTACATAGTTTTAAATATTTTTTATATTTATCTGTTAGTCCGTGTGAAAGAAAATGTCAACCGAGATAGCTTCTTTTATATTAAAAGTTAGATTTTCAATATTAAAAGTGAAGTAATTCATATATATGTATTTAATTTCAATTTCGATAAATTGTATCTGTTATAGTATATATTTCTAATTTAAACGTCAATCACAATTATTAAATAACCAATAAAATTAATATACACAAAAATATGAATAAAATAAAAATCGAAATGAACAGAAAAAAAAATTAAATATTACTATAACTTATTTTTTTCTCATCATTTTATATTACCGCAGTAATAATGCATAATAATGTTTCTAGCAGGTATCGAGACATCGCTTTGGAAATCATGGCATTAAAATGTTTAATTTTGTCTATCACGAGATATACTTACTTTTGTAAGAGTGAATAAATTAAACATTCATAAATAATTATATATATATTATCAAAACAATTCTCAGACTACGGAATAATATACATATAGTGAAAATGGCTAACGGATTGTATTATGATGATGTTTTTTTAATAAGCTAATATTATGCTATCTCTCTTCAAATGAAAGAGAGCTAATGCTTAAACAACAACACAAAAGAATTTATAGTATTATTTTTATCATTCATCTTTTATGCTCAAAAATTATATTTTAATTTAACGAACACATATATAAAATTTCTCTTATTATTTAAAGAAAATGAACCACCGTCTGAATGGCAAAATCGAGAATAGTAGCATAAACAGCTAATCACGCTACCATTTTTGACTTTGTCATTTATTTTGGCTGACTCCGTCTGTATGATTCTTTAGTCTGAGTAACAATACTACATGTTAATATCGGTGGTCTATAATATGAGCGTTAATGTATATCTTTTTATTTCAGATTATACATAATTTAAACATAATATGGCAACATCTATTGTTATATCAGTTCTTTTTTTCTGGGAGTTAATATTTTTTTCGTTAAACTTTTAATATCCTCTAAAAATCAAAGTTTATTTAATAACGACAAAAACAATATTTTAAAATTGAAAATATACTTTGTTGTTATATAAATTTGACAATCCTAGTAGTAATGGAGGCTTTTTCAAAACAATTCCTCTTAAATGGCACTCCTATAAGCCATTGGAAAAAACAATTGAATTGAAAATAATTCCTCAAACTTTTATATAAAAGTAAAATTTTTATTTTCAACCACTTCCAAAAAGGAGGAGGTTCTCAATTCCTAGGATATTTTTTTTATTATTTATGTTCACCGATTATTCGAAGACGCCTGAACCGATTTGGAAAACTCTTATTTTGTTTCAAAGGGTATGACTTCGAAAATATCTGATTAGATATCTATTCTAAATGATTACCCCCGTTCAGTTATTTTTTACATTTAAGTGCCTGGAAGTCGGTTTTTTAAAGAAGTTTTTTAAACTAATTTAATCTCGATGGATATTATTAGGTCTTGGCTGCTAGGATATTATATAATGTAAAACCTATCTATGTCTTTTTTTCTAAGAAAATCTGTAGTAAAGTAATTGTTGTAATTGTAATAATGTATAAGAGAAGAGATGGTATCGAAGTGAAACCTCTATCGTATTTTAAATAATTCTACCCAAAAGATTACGGGAGCTTCATTGCATTTTTGTGTACTCATACAGTACAAGTACAAATAAATACATATGAAATTGATTTTGTTATATTTTGATTATATATGATAAATATTTATAATTGTTGGTTTTCTTTTATGAAAATAATGTGGGTCTTGTTAATTTTGATGTGACGCGATACGCCTTGTTTTGATTTTTTATATGATGTACAACTTGAATAACGTGTTATCGCTGACATATTGATAAAGTAAAGGTAAAAGTACCTGTACAGGTAAAATCGTGTAGAAATAAAGTTACATATAATTTGCTGTAATATTGCTTCTAGTGTCAAATCTATATCTCCATATTACACAGTCAGTTAATATACCACAGACTACTAATCCATACAGTCATCTAACGCCTCTTAACTATGGATTTCTATAGTGGAGAGACGCGGGTGAGGTGCACCCGAATGTCATACTTACTTTTGTATGTCAGTCGGGAAACGTTTTTAGGGTTGACCCTAATTATAACCTAACTGTAACTCACGAGCGATACTACAGTGCTTAAACTTATTACTTTTCACCGTGAAAATTGGTATTTTTGATATCCCTTACATTAGACAGCATTTTCATAAAAATCACCGGCAATTACATAACGTTTGTAATATTTTAATTTATGAATTATATTTATTTATTAACTTTTTCGTTCGGTTTTCTTTTATGAAAATATTGAATCACATTATAAACGACAATTTTTAAATGTTTTGAAATTTTTTATCTGTTGTACGAGACCTTAGTTACACGTTATTTTGGTATCTCTTCTTGGGTGGTGGAGTGGGGGCCTTCTCATTATCCGGCAGGAGTGGCAGCAGTGGGAGTTGAGTCTCTCTCCGGCGGGACTGGTACAGGTAGGAGTTGCGAGGCGCCAGCACCAGGTCATAGTTGTGTCGGGGGGTGTTGTTGTTGTCAGCATCAGCTTCTAGGGTTTTGTGCTGTTTCTGGGGCAACGGGGGTGGTTCTTCTTCATCTTGGTTGGAATCTGTTGTGCCTGGGAGATTGGAATTAGAAATTAATTTTTTAATGAAGTAATTCTATGCTAAGAAAACCTAATTGTTGTATGGCTAAATAAATTTGGAAGAAATTCAGTACACAGATAGGTTATAAACAGGAGAAGCACATAGATTACTGTTAGTAATTAAATTTGCCAAAGGTTATACAATAGGCGGGTAGGCACGCAGTTGAGCGAAGCGAGGTTAAATCACCAGTATAATATGAACCCTGTGGTTACTTGAAGCATTATTTTCTTAATATTTTTTATAATGGACATAAATCCAAAATTAATTACAACCCTTTTATATTCAGCATAATACCTATTGTGTATTATTATTGCAATTTATTCCCAATCAAAATTAAAACACACAAATATACTGTAAAATCACTTAACAAACATAAAATCCTGCAATAAAACAAAAGGTCTCACCCAAAGAGTCCCTATTGGAGGGCGGTTCCGAGTTGGTAATGAAACTCGTGCGTTGCGAGAGACGTCCCGCCTCCGCGCGCGGCGGACGCTCCGTCACCAGCTGGGGGGTGACAATAAATATAAATATTATATAACACCTCCAAGTGAATTTCTAAGAAATTAATTAAAATTCTAAGAAATCTATTGTTAACTGACACGCCGGCGTGTCCGCGGTCGTGGAGGCATTAATACTAGCGCTGCCCCGCGGTTTTACATATCACTTATACAATAATGTATGGAAGCTGCCCGATTCGTTGAATGATTACTGCTCCGCTCCCCTGGGGTATAAGCCTTCCTCAATAAACGCTATCTAATGCAAAAGAATTTTTTTTAAATCGGATTAGTAGTTCCTATGATTAGCGCGTTCAAACAAACTCTGTACCTATATATATTAGTATAGATTAACTGCTACTGTAGCGTAGTGGCTAACATGTACGGTTGCAAATCCGAAGGTCCTGGGTTCGGGTTATAGGTTTAGTTATTAAGCCTTTTGTTAAGAAAATTTCAATAAAATTTTTGGCAGTGTTTCACTTCCGTGCTGAAACAGAGAACGTAAAGTCATCGCCCCAGCGCCTGTTCTTTCACTGTTGAGTCGAAATGACGGGACTTTCACTGACTAGGATAGCCGATGTTATACGAAGTAACTTAGGCTACTTATAATAAACTTATAATAATAAAAAAAGAATTAGGGTTCCGCTCAAAAAAAATAAAACGTACGAGACGCACCCGAGCAAAGCGAGGGCAAGTCGCTAGTTAAAAAACAATACATTAAGCACAAAAAAGCATTAGGCAAATGTATTTAACACAAAATATTTTCTAGCAAGCAGATGATTAAAAGCCATTTCGCTTCGGATCTTAGTCTATATACCACAAATCAAAAGGCTTACATCACTCACCTCCTGCCTCAACTCCTTCAACGGCAAGAAGGGTGCATCTAGAACATTATTATTTAACGCAGTGTTTATCGCACTGATGATTGCGTTGTTTATCGCGCCTGCACTGTTGTGGGCGTGTGCGTGGGCGTGGGAGTTGGCATTTGGGCTGTTTGAAGTGTACCATTGACTGCCACTCGATTGCAGACTGGTCTCGCTCTGGATAGAAAAGTTCTATAAATATATGAAAAAGTTGTTTATTTTATTTTTTCATAAATTAAAAAGACAATTTGTTTAAAATATAGTTAATGCTGCATTCACACGCTTGCCAAGCGCTGACAATCAATTACAAATTCAAACATGTGGAGAGATAGCGTTTCATTTGGTTTTTATAGGTTTGCAAGCTATTGACACCATTGTCGACTTTTGTGCAACAAATCAAAAGAAATTTGCGACAAACGATTGTGATGCACACATTTTTTATTACTCACTAGTGACTCACACTCTCGCTTCGCTCGGGTTCGTCCCTAGCTTGCTTCATAATACAAACTTTTTTTCCCATTTTCACACCCTGAAGGGATGATTTCCGGGATGAAAAGTATCCTATGTCCTTCCCAAATTTTATCTAAAACGGTTCAGTAGATCCAGAGATGACCCCCTACAACATCACAAACTCACAAAATTTACCTCTTTATAATATTAGTATAGATATATAAACTATAATAAATATATAGTCTATCTATTTCGTACTAACCGCTAAAACGCACCCAGGGACGTTCCCGAGCGAAGCGAGGGCCAGTCACTAGTAATAGATATATGATAAACTGAACGTAATAGCCGACACAAGTTCGACATCCATCACTATTGTTCATCCGATTTTAAGTACGGAAACTGATATGATTTCATCTAGGAAAATGCTCATAGCTGTAGAATCTGTTACAATTTTAATCTATACTAATATTATAAAGAGGTCAAGTTTGTGAGGTTGTGAGATTGTGAGTTTGTGAAGTTATGTGGGGTAATCTCGAGATCTACTGGACCGATTTAGATGAATTTGGTAAGAAGATAGTTTGAGACCCTGGGAAGGACGTAGGATACTTTTTATCACGGAAATCATTTTTAAGGGAGTGAAAATGGGGATGAAAATTTGTTTATGGAAGCAAGCTACGGATGAACCCGAGCGAAGCCAGGGTGAGTCGTTAGCATATAGTAATTTTAAATATATTTTACCTTTCTACTTCTCTTTTTGTGCCGAGGTGTTAGAGTGCCGCTACTGCTGTCTCTTCTGTAAGGGAAAATAAAGAAAAGTTACTTATGTATACTTAGGTAATACTCTTAAGTTATTTGTGATACCGATTTGGCAGATTTTTTTTAAAGACACAAATTAGCGTCAAGCGTAAATCGCCATTTTGTATTCTAAATTCTAATAATATTCACTTATGACACTCACATTATCAACACGAATCTAACGACGTAACATTTAAAACGAATTATTTAAATAGGTTCAGCCGTTTAGTAATTACGAGGGAACATAGGATCGTATATACATACATACATACATAAATACAGGTAAAACACATAAGCCCCCTTTAGGCTTCGCCACAGTCGGATAAAAAATTATAAGTAATTTATATGACATACCTCGTCCAATTTAAAGCAGAATTGAGTTTGGACTTTGATTTTGGTGTTGTTCTGGAAATAAAAAAAAAAACATTTAATATATATTTTTATTTTATTTTTCTCAGTCGTTGGTTCCCACTGCTGGGCTCTTTTTCCCATTCTGCTCTATTTCTTGCTATAACCTGTCAGTTTTTTTGTAAAGGCATCTAGTTTAAGCCTTCTGTGATGTCGTTTGACGTTTTTTTTCAAATATATATTAGTATATAATTGTTTTATTTAAGTTATGGCCGTTGCATTTAAATTAGATTATTTCAATTTATATGATTATAGTAGGAATAAAGTCGTGCATATAATTGTATGTCGTTTTTAATGTCCTCTTTTTACTTTTAGTTAAAATCTGTCAAAAACGTAATTTATAAAAAGGTCTTAATAAAAAATAGAAAAAAGTATAAAAACAATGTGTGTGTGTGCCTACCAAGTATAATTACTGAAATAAAAAACAAACTATACATACAACGACATTTGTCAATCTTATTTTACTGACCAATCTCCTTCGTATCTTTTCCATTCCACGTGACATCGGCGAAGTAATCTGTGCTCAACTGGCACGCTTTGAGGCCATTAACAAAATAAATGTATTAAATATACATACATATGTTTGCATATAGGTGACAAACTTCTAAATAAATAAAAATGATTTTTTGTTGAACGAATGAGTCAGAAAAAAAATTTTTTTTTTCATCGTTTATTCAAAGCAAAACAGCACAAGTCTAGTAAATTACGTTGGATGCAGTTATAGGATACAAAGAAATACGCATTTATTTTAATTAAATAATTAATTAGACATAATTACTAATTAAATCACTACTGATTACTAATTAAATCGCTACTCAGAAGTGACTCTCAAGTGAAAAACAAAAACGAATCCCACGGATAACCTGTGTGCTGTTTCACACTATAAACTATTTTTGTGTTAAATTTAATCCCGATCCGTTCATTTGGTTCCGTTGTTTGGTTCCGTCATTGTGGCGTGATTGAGTAACAAACATCCATTCAAAATTTTGTATTTATAATATTTATGGGATTTAGACTTCGAAGATATAATCTTGACATCATTAATTTGTAATTTTAATGAATTATTATTTCTTTAAATTAAATTGGAATTATTATTATACTATTAATTAATACTAATGTGATAGCCTGTTAAAGTTAGCAAGTTGTAACTACCTATAATTAAAAGTGCAATTATCATGATAAATTATATGTAACCTAAGTTTAAGTATTATAATATTGTAACTTTTGTTGGTAGTTCAATAAATAAATAAATAAATAAATAAATAAATAAATAAATAAATAAATATATAAATAAATAAATAAATAAATAAATAAATAAATAAATCATCAATCTTGTTTAGGTAGCTGTTGTGCTAATCTCTTCTCGGCGGCATCGCGTGCGTTTTGTAGGGCAATGCTTGTGCGGCGGTTCGCTTGGGTCGGCCGTGTGTGCCAAGTAGTATAGTAAAGTAAATAAATAAATGAATATATTGAGTTCCATGGTAAACCACGAGACTTGTGTTATGGATACCAGATAGTTGATACACTACACATATATAACTTTAAATACATACATCTTATAGATATTAACACCCATGACTGCAGTACAAACATTCGTCCTCATCACGCAAACGAAAACACACAGCAAGTAGGGTCACTAGAAACCGAGCCAATCGTGTCGCCAAACGTAACAAAAAGTATGAAGATGGCAGTACCCGTTCCCGGCGGAGACGTCGGAGAGGCGCGCGGGCGCCTGCGCGTGCGGGAGGTGGCGCTCGGCGTCGTCGCGCGCGCGCAGCACCACCTCGGGCGACACCGGCGACCCGCTCTCAAACTCGCTCATCTGATGGGATACGGTCACTGTTATATATTGATTAGGTGTGCACTGCGCGTGTGTATTTGTGTTTGTTACTTGTTCAACTTGTAACTGAACTGTGACGCAAAAGTGATACGGGATAAAGATTATGTTACTCCATGTTTTTTTTATTTTACTTGATGCATTAGAATAGAATAGAGTAAAATAGAAAAAACATTTATTTGTGACAGACTACTACACCCATAAAACAACTTAATACAACAAATAAAATAACTTAAATATTTTATATGTTGATACTTCTAGATTTCTTAAATAACATGAAAATATATTTTACCATACAACGTCAAAACTTTCATAAAATATGTATATGTATTTACAAAAATAAAACTAGAAATTTTACAAAAGAACACGACGTATCAACGTCACGTTAACAACACAAGAATAAGAAGTATACACTTACACGATCCCGGAAGCATTTGACGAGGTGGTCATGCAAATCTCGCTGAGGGTTTCTCCGGGCGTGGACCTCTAGACCTGCAGGAAAGAAAATAATTGATATTTATCCAAGCTTCCTATACTTTTAAGTGTAAAATTTTAAAAGTATATTTATTAATAAAGAACTAAAAATATTGCGTAATACACAAAAACATCGCGTGCACCCAAATAAAATATGTCCATATTTTTTGGAAACACACAAATATTCCCCATAGTACATTTTAGATATGATTTTTTCCAAAATGCCTACATCATACACGTAAGTTCTAACTAGCCAGGTCTTAGTATCCTAAATCATGTTACAATCTATCCCAAAACCAACCAAACACACACAAACCCACCGTATTTGAGCAATGGCACTTGATCCGAGATCAGGTCGCGCAGCTTCTGCAGTAGCGCGGCGTGCTCCGGCCGCCGCGCCTCGTACTCGGGCGTGAGGAACGCGAGCTTGTAGTGGATGAGGCCGCCCTGCACTGCCGAGTCTAGGATACCTGGGAATCAAACTTATATTAATACTAGAATTGCCCGCGGCTCCGCCCGCGTTCAGATGACCAAAAACCAAATTCTTAGGTTTTACATATTAGTTCTTACATTGTAGTTTTTGTATTTTTTCTCAGAAATGAGACATTTTCCCGCGGTAAAAAGTATCCTATATGTTGACCCGGATAACCAGATATCACCGTACCAAATTTTATCAAAATCCCTCCAGTGATTTTTCTATGATGCGGAAACAGACAGACAGACTGACAAAAATTCTAAAAACTATAGATTTCGCCTCTGTATCGATAATAACGTCTTTTTCAATAAGATTTTCCAAATAATATTGAATGTACAGATTCGGCTTACTTACAATTTCATTATATGTATAGAAGAGTACAACTAATAATATACTCATGCGAGTTTCCACTTTGTGTGCACGCACATACACATAAACATTTGTTTGTTATTAGTTTATGTTGAAATAAATGACCGGATTTAAATGAAATGTGAACACAGATAAATTATTACCTGGAATAATACACACATGAGCTACCATTAAGCGAAAGCAAGTCATCGATATGTCAGATAAGTATAAAACTAATTAAATCGCATTTAACCGAATGTAGTTTATGAGACTCATCGAAATGAATAGAATGAAAGTGAACTCGTAAAACTATTATAGCAATACTTTTGCGCCAAGGACATACATAAATAAATATATGAAGTTTCACTTATTTATTTTTTGTCACACATTTTGTAAAATTAACATAACTCTCGCAAATAACAATTTTCTAAAGATCATTGTAAAATCAACTATTCAAAAAATTAAAAAATATCTTTACAAGCCCAGAGGTTTTATTTCTACAAGTATAACCTTCAGTCCGTCTAACGGGAGACACGTACCCTGTAACCTCATGGACAGCGGATGGAGAGGCGCGCTGTCGTCGGAGGCCTCCAGGATGGTGGTCTTCAGCTGGTCGTTGGTCTGCAGCATGGTCTCCACGGCCACCTCCAGCGGGCACACCCAGTACGTGCGCGTCGACACCACGGGGAACCATTGTAGAATACCTGGAGGAAGTTATGGGTTATTTAATTATAAGCTTTACTGTACGAAAAACAACCATGTGCACAAAAACCGTGTGCAGGCAAATTAGCGGCTACTTCCAGACAAAATTTAGATTAGAAAAAGATTATTAGAGATTAATTAAGATTATTAGAGATGTTTTTAAACGCACCGACAAAACGCGTACTGTAAATAAATAAACGCGCGTCATTCTTGTGAATGATTTTGAAAATAATTTGCACTGAGAAACTTAAAAGGACCTGTCCACACAACGGTTGGTTTATAAACGTGTCGACAACGCGCGTATCATGAACGTACGGCATTTGCGCATATTCTGTACGGATAAATTAAAAAATATATATGTAAAAAATCATTTTTAATAATACTTTCTTAGATTTACGCGAATATTTCACATTTTTCTCCCGTGACCATGGATGTTGTAAAGCATTCGAAACGTCGGGAACCAAAAATCAAAATAAATCCGCGAAATAATCCGAAAAGATAGTTTTATTTAAAACATTTTTAATGTGATATAATAATCTTTGAATTAAATCAAAGCCATCAATTTATTACATTAATTACCTATATCTTAAAAACTAACCTACTTCTTTCCCAGTGTTTCAAACTACCTCCACACCTAATTTCACTTAAATCGGTTCAGCTGATAAAGCGTGAAAAGGTAAAAGACAGACAGACAGAGTTACTTTCGCATTTATAATATTAGTATGGGATGTATGTATATTTCTCACCAGGCAACGTGTCACTGATCTCCAGCTCGGTCCTCTCCAGCCAGCGCGTCGCGAACTCGTTCGCTCGCATGAGGTCTTCCTTCTTGCCTTCCGTTAGCTCTGTTATGGCATCGTCTGAAACATTAATTATACTCTTATTAAGAAAATTTGTTTGAAAAACAAAATTTTAAGAAAAAATACTTACACGAAAAACTTTTTTAAATAGAAATACATTTTATCGAAACTATCCTTTGAAATCAAGTACATACAACATATCACATAAAAATATAAAAGTAATTTTAACTAAAACTATCTTTTCGCAGATTTACATTGATTTTTGTGGGTTAGCACTGCCTGTAATTAGGTATATAATGACATAAGAAATGCCTAAACCCTTAGTCTCTCCCCTGACTATGCTGCTGTAAATCATTCAAAACGCGGGAACCAAAAATCAAAATGAATAAAAAACGTCAAATATTCGAATAAATCTAAGAAGGTATTATATGTTTATTTTGGTTATTACCTAATATTAAGCTGTCAGTCAATAACTGTCAAAACTCATGAAATATATGTAAAAAAAAATAATATAAAATTTGTAATATCTCACCAGTCTTATGAAAAGGTCTTGAAAAATGGAACTTTTTCACATTATTGTGCTCGTAGTAGCTCCGCACTAGATGGTCGTCCACGGATTTACCTAACAACGCCCTCCACTTCTCATCCATGATGGGCGTCACCGCGTTTATTTGTAAATCTGGTGTGTTCAGTTAAACGAAATAAAATGTATATAATTTATATTTTTAATTCATGTATAAATTAAAATTAAAACTTAAAAATAAAATATGTTGCTTATAAATCTGCTAAAATATAAAAATTAAATATATAGTATCGCGGAATTTTTGTAAAACTATTAATATATGGTATACAAATTTGCCATACATTGTTTTGACATGTTAGATAGCGCATGCAAAAAACCCTGTATTTGTCTACTGTTGTAACTTCCAACACAAAAAACGTGGTAAGTCTGCTAAATCACCCAAGGGTTATTGTTGCTTTCATTATATAATTTTAGAATTAGTATAGTACATTATTATTAGTTTTGATTCAAGGACAAGACCGATTTTATCTGTTTATTGAAGTAAAACTTCTTTAGGTGTGTGGCGCAGAAATGAGAATCAAATTTATTGTCAACAATTTGAAAAAAAAATGTAAATTTATATAATAATAATTACTTATAAAAATGATTATAAACTTGTTCATTACTAATAATTTTATAAAAAATATTATAATTATATTTTGATTTATTTTAATTTAATGAGGGTCTCTCTCTATCTGCCGCTCTATGCCATCTATGTATATGTATATAATAGGCGCCATTATTATATAAATTATAAAGGATACATTGTCCTTCCGACATAGTAATATCATTGCCGGGCTCGTCCAGCTTGAGCAGCACCTCTGCTTCGGGCCACTCCTCCAGCATGCGCTCTTTGAAGTTATGCAGCATGTCGCCTTCGTTGCCTCGGAACACGAAACCCTGAAATTAATAAAAAAATAGGCATTATGTATTAAATGCAATATACATTCTTTAAAAAAAACCTTCATCTTTTTTTTTTATATTATGTTTACTTTTCTATACTAAGCTTCGCTCGGTTTCGTCTCTAGCTTGCTTTCCAATACAACCTTTCATCTCCATTTTTACTCCTTTAAGGGATAATTTCTGGAATAATACCTATCATATGTCCTTTCCAGGATCTTAAACAATATTCTTACCAAAATTCATTTAAATCGGTTCAGTAATTTCGGAGTCTATTCGGTACAAACAAACAAAAAAATCTTTGCTCTTTATAATATTAGTATAGAAGTATAGACATAAATTTCCAAATGATTTACTTTAATATATAATATTTATGTTGGCTTTTTATAAAAATAAATTTAAAGAAATGAATTATTCGGATTCTGTATAATCCGGAAAACCTCTACTTAAATATCATTCAATTGTCACAACAACTACCTTTGGGTTTCACAAATGTTCGGGGAAGCCCCGGCCGAGGTGGCGCATACGGAAATTTTATTAATCTCATTGTTGTGACTATATGCCTCTTCACGGGAAAGTAAGATATAGACACAGAACACACGCACACACACACCTTCGGGTTCTGCATGTGGTCGGGGAAGCCCCCGCCCAGGTAGCGCACGCGGAAGTACACGGCGCGCAGGCGCGCGTGCGTGAGCGGCGCGCGGTAGAGGCGCGCCAGCGTCTCGTGCAGCGCCGCCAGCGCCGCGTAGCCACGCGCGCGCCGCTCGTACACGCCCACCAGCTCGCGCGTGCAGCGCACCGCCAGCTCCCACTGCTGCCCGCGGTCCAGTAGCGAGGATATCTCCTCGTACAGGTAGATCTGCGGGTGATAGGTTATTGTTGAAGTAAAAATTCTTTACGCTCGAGTTGGGGGTTAGCTGGTGAACCCGTTACTAAAATATGTACGTACGTTCGTTGTAGGTGTATACCTTGAGGTCGAGGTGCGTGCGGTCGCGGTCGGCGCGGTCGGGGTGGCGCAGGCGCGGCGGCAGCGGCTCGTCGCTCCAGGCCAGCAGCTTGGCGTGCAGCTGCAGCGCCAGCGCCGCCTCCGCCCAGCGCGCGCCCGCGCAGTGCATCGCCGCCAGCCGGTGCACGTACCTGTTGGGTGTTTTAAAATATTCCAAATAATTATACTTTTTTAGATTTATGCCAATATTTGACATTTTAAATAAAACTATGTTTTCGGACTTTTTTCCGTGGATATATTTGGATTTTTGGTTCCCGACGTTTAGAATATCAAAAAACTCCAAAAAACCCAAAAATCAAAATAAATCTGCGAAAAATTCCGAAAAGATAGTTTTATTTAAAATATGAAAATACATCATATTAAATGGTTTGCAGTCGACTTTCAAGGCTTTTATTGCTATATTTAAAAAAAATGAGGCTTTGAAATAATATACAAAATGTTGTATACGTCACTAAATTCTTCAGATTATTTGTAATTTTTTTGAGAATTATTGCAGCTTAAAATGTTATTTAGAAAAAAAAACGCTAATTTTCTATACATACACCATTTATACTATTACTCATTACCAAAGAACTGCATGAATTAAAAAGTAATCTCTACTGTATCACATCTCAACAGCCCTATCTGTTCTTCGTATCCCGTAACACAAACACACACTGACATTACAATGTACATGTACATACGAGGGGGGAGGACAAAAAAAGTAACACGTTATTTTTTTAACATTTTTTAAAATTTGCAATAATTCATAAGTTGAGTAGAAAAAGAAAATGACTGTACTCGTCAATTTTTGAATGTTTTCAAAGTGATCCAGCCGAAAAAAAATCCATTCAAGCTAAAAATTTAAATTAAATATTTAAAAACCGGCCAAGTGCGAGTCGGACTGGCGCATGAAGGGGATCGTACCATTTTCTATAAAAACGGCAAGAAAATCATGTCTGTTGTATGGGAGCCCCCTTAAATTTATTTTATTCTGTTTTTTAGTATTTTTTGTTGTAGCGGCAACAGAAATACATTATCCAAGGAAATATTAACTGTCAAAGTATCATGGTTCATGAGATACAGTTTGGTGACAGAAGGACGGACAGTGGAGTCTTAGTAATAGGGTCCCGTTTTATCCTTTGGGTACAGAACCCTAAAAATCAATGTTGAGTAAAAAAAATGTTTAATTCTACCTCCAAGCTTAGAAAGAAACAATAATTTCCGTTCCACCCTAGTACGTAGAGGTGATATACACTGTACGTGCAGTACGCACCGTATGTACATGTGCGGGCGCTCGATCTCCTCGTAGAAGCGGAGCACGCCGGGCACGAGGTGCACGCGGCGCGGCGGCGCGGCGGCGCGGTAGCGCAGCAGCGCGTCCAGCTGGCGCGCCGCGGCCGCCACCAGCGCGGCGGCGGGCACGCGCAGCGGCGACGCGTGCGCCAGCGCGCCGCACAGCGACACGAAGCGCGCGCGCCACGCCGCGTCGCCGCGCCCCGCCTCCGCCAGCACGTCCAGCTTGTCTATCAGCTCGTTCTCCAGGCTCCTCAGGTTGCCTTCGCCTACACACACACAAACACACATACTTTATCATCGACAGACTTCTTAAAAAAAGGAATTGTTCTAAAGCGTATCTTAGAATATTTTTTGACTTTAAAACTATAATTATTTTCAATACGAACCACTCTCAGCAGTGTATTTGTACTCTGTCTGCATCATATCGAAGAACAATGGTATTGTAGTGTTGCGAACCTCTTCATCGCGGAGAAAGCTCACTTCTAAGAACGTCCCCACGAGGTGAGTTATGAAGAAACGCTTATGGTCCTCTGTGAACAAAAATATATTATATTATTAGTTTTTATTGATTTTTGCAAAGTCTAAATATACTCTATATATAATATATATATATATATATATATTATATATATATATATATATATATATATATTTAAAATTTGATAGTTTATTTTTAAAATCTTTCAAGAAAGTCCTTAATTTTTTATGTTATATAAGACTAAAATTTCTTACTGCCGTAGTGCCCTTATTGCTGAGCATTGGTTTCACCTTAACCCGAGAATCAGACCCATTAAGTGATGGGCCTAGCTACGTGAGGATTAACATATATAAATAATATAAACATACCTATTCCTATTATTTTCTTTATATATAATAATAATTTAAAGAGCGTTACGATGTTTTAATTAAATACATCAGATCTGGTAACCTGTTGTATTTATATATGTATTTAATTCAACTGTCACTTGTCAAAATAAAAGTGTCTAAATGGTTGCAAAAATATCGTATGAGAAGACTGAGCTTTTTTTAACAATTCCGTCATAATATCTTATCCACCTACAATCTACATATAAATATATTTAATCTATACAATTATAATAAAATTGTAACTAAGCCGAATCTATACATTAAATATTTTTTTGGAAAATCTTATTGAAATAGACATTATTATCGATACAGAGGCGAAATAAAAAAAAGTTTTTAGAATTTTTGTCAGTCTGTCTGTCTGTTACCGCATCACAGAAAAACCACTGGAGGGATTTTGATGAAATTTGGTATGGTGATAGCTGGTTATCCGGGTCAACATATAGGATACTTTTTACCGCGGGAAAATGTCTCATTTCTGAGAAAAAATACAAAAACTCAAATGTATGGTAATATGTAAAACGTAAGAATTTGGTTTTTGGTCATCTGAAGGCGGGCGCAGCCGCGGGCAATGCTAGTGTAAAAATAAAATCTTCTTTTTCTTTTATCCTAACATGATGCATATTTTTAATTTAAATTGTCAATATATTTATAATATAAATAGTTGTAGATTCAATTGTGAAAGCGGAACGTCAGTCACTTAAAATACAAACAATGGCTTAGTTTAGGAGATAGTAGTTCATCTTATATATTTTTTACTCTTTTTGTTTTTGCTTTTATTACTTTAAACCCCATAAATTGTTACTTTATATAGTACAATAAATAAATGACTATTACTACTTAAATGTCTAAACTGGCAACCCGAGCCACCCTTGCCCAAGCCCACTCACCCAAACTGAACCACATATCAGCCATGAGCGCGGCGGCCTGGCGGCGGATATCGCCGTAGAGCACGAGCGCGCGCTGGCGGCGCGCGGCGGGCAGCGCCTCCAGCTGCAGCGGCGGCGACGCGGCCACGGCGCCCACCGCGCCGAACCACTCTATCATGGTGGCGTGCACCGCGCCCACCGCCTCCTGCTCCACCTCCTCGCTGACCGTGATGGACGTGAGGTTCTCGCGCAGAGTCGTCGCTAGTAACCTGTTTAGATTGTTAATAAATTAAGTAAATAAAAAGACCAATTAAAGTTTAAGGGAGCAGCACCGAGCTTTTTATTTTAGTAGAACGGAAAAGAGAATGCATGAAACGCGTGCGAATTTAGGTATTTCCTGCGTATTATTAAAACAAATACAAATTTTGAAAATGTAAAGTGTATACGTTTTAGAAAATGTATACTTTTGTTATTATTAAAAACCTGATAAACTTCCTTGAATTATTTACTCCGCACTAAGGATTTATTTTGTTTTTAGAGATCATTTTGGCTTTGTTTTTTCTATCGAGGAAACTACAAGTAATCGTGTTTCTAAAGTGTACGATTTATAGAATAAATCCTTAAATGTCCTACATATTAATTGCATAATTAATGTTTTAGACACGCAAAATAGGCGCATAGTCGTCGAGTTGCGGAAAACAGCCCGAACATACCATACCAAAGTTTTAGTAATAACAATACTAAAACAACACTAATAACAACAATAATTTCGTAATTACTTCGGTGCCCCCTTAATATTTAAATTCAATTTGAAAAAAATATACAGTTTTGGTATTTCTAACATACACGTAATTTACTTCTAAAACATAATCCTGAGAGCAACTGTCAAAACTCAGCGGGACACAGCATTACAAAAAAATCAATCTTTGATTTACTTAGATAACCTTTTTTTTAACGTTGGGAAATGCATTTACGCACGAGGTGTGGGACTCACCGGGAAAGCCAGTACTACCCACTAAAACCTAACAAAACCTTCCCCCGTCTTAATGGGGCCTCGCAGGATCGCTTACGCATTCAACTACGACGCCCCGACGGCAGGTCTGCCGAGGCAGACCACAACGACCATGGGGTTGCTCCAAAGTCAACTCTGCTATCAGAAAAGTACCAGGAGCAACCCGCATGGTACACCGCCCTCTGAAGAGGGCCACCTCCCTGTGCGTTTCTTGGCTTCGCGCCCGGTTGGATTGCCGGGCACTACTGAGCCCCCCCCCCCCCCCACGACAAAGTAAACGCACGTTTGGGGGGTTACTTAGATAACCTAACCTAACCTGAGAGCATGCAACATAACATAATGCTGCAGATGTAGCATATCAGCCCAATGGGGTCTGAACACCGGGCGCTGGAGCAAAGCCATCATGAGCGCGAGCGCGTCCGTGAGCAGCGTGTGGCCGCGGCCCGCGCCCTCCGCGTCTAGCGACCGCATCACCACCGTGTACTGCTCTTCCGACATCTGCCGCACCATGTCTAGGAGGACGCAGATTAACTTGCGCTGGGAATTAAATTAAATCAAATCAAAATATACTTTATTCAAATAGACTTATACAAGCTCTTTTGAATCTTTAATTTTAAAATTAAATCGAATGTCAGTGTAGTCATCTACCACCGGCTCTGAATGCAGGTCTGCTGACAAGAACCGGCGAGAAACTCAACAGTTGCTCTTTTAAAATAATAATTGTGTACAATATTGTTTAAATGGCAAGCTCAAGATGGATTGTGGAATTCTATTATACATGCGTACACCTTTTGAATCAACATCATCATTAGATGATGATGTTCATTTTTACTATGGTAGTATAGTAGAAAATTGAGTCCACCCTGGACTCAATTTTCCGCAGTTAAACTCTACATTGTTCCGTTGTGCGCCCCAAATCCTGGCTAGCCTAGCCAAATTAACTCTGCCCAGAAGCGCAGAAGTTTCCTGGGAACTTCACAAACTTCGCGGAGTGAACTTACTGATCCGAGGATTTCTTTGCGTTGATAAGCCACTGCCTCACATTTCAATTTTACTATGATATATTTGATTGGCATTGAAGAAAAACCCGTATTAATATTGTAAATGCGAAAAATATGTTTTTTGCCTGTTTGCTTGTTGGTAACGTTTTCATGCCTAAACTACTGAACCGATTTTGATGAATATATGTGTTGATTGATACATATAATAGATTCCAATACATTTCTTAGAAAGCGATGGTAAGTCATTCAAATATTACTCTTTTCAAACAACTTTCGATTGACTTACATAGAGGAGCTGTGTTGAGTACAATTTTTTTTATTACTCTTCATCATTAAAAAACATCATTTACAATACTAAATCCTCATGAAATTCAAGCTTAAAACCTGTCACGAGGATCAATGTCACACAGGCATTGCCTATACGTAATCATACAAATTTAAACAAACTTACCAACAAGGGGTCTTCATTGGGTATCCCCTCTTCTCTATTCCTATCCCGCATCATAGTCGCGGCTATCCTCAGGACAGTTGGCAGTAGGGCCCTTGCTAGTTCCCCTCTATCCGCCTCGACCGGACCGACGTCGTCCCGGGCGAGGAGGGACACCACTTCACCCAGCGCTTCTACGCATAGCTCCACCTGGATAGAAACCTTTATTGTGGCATGGAATGGTGCACCATGAATAATTTTGTTGATAAACTTGGGTATAAAAGTAAAGATGTTTTTTGAAAAATATATAAAAATAATACTACTTTAAGAGTTTTATTTAGAAAATTATGATATTCGGATTTTTAAAGAAAATTTTATCATTAATAAAAATACATAATAGAACAAGAAATAAATAATAGAATATATTAAATAATAATAATAACAAATAATAGAAAAAAATAAGATAGTGCTAAAAAAGAAAGTGGTGAGGTAAAGAGAAATATTTACAGAAGGACTAACCTTCGAGTCCACTTCTATATGGCTGCATTGAACCACATATTTTACATTATTCACTTATTTATTAATTAATATAGCATTAAATCTTATAATTATTTTTATTATAAATAATGATTTCTTAATATGTAGTAAGTAATATACGTATAGAGTATCCTCCTGGTTGATTAAATTAAGACCATCTTTACTTACTTGAATCGACGTCCACGAGAGAGATCACTGTGAGAGTCAGTCAGTTTTAGTCCATGGAGTGTCAGTATATCGTGTACGCTTTCAATAACTGTTTTATCTAATACTGGCATTGATTTATTATATAAAGCGCTTTAGTCTAATTTTGGTTAAACGAAAAACGCATAGGTTAAATTTCTAGCAAGAAGATCTTAAATTCTTGGATTCGGATCCCAGTCTGGTTTTAAAAAGCTGTTGTATACTCGTATTTTATCGAACAATTCCTATTTGACGAAGTAAATTTTAGATAAAAATTTGCAACTGTTGAGTTTCTAGTCGGTTCTTCTCAGCAAAACTACCTTTCGAACGAGACCACTGGGGTATGGTCAGCCACCCGGACTGACACTTCAATTGAATTAACAATTCAAAAGTGCTTGTAAAAGTCTAATCAAAAGTGTAATTTCCTTTGTGAATTACTATTTCTTTGTGAATTAATGAGTCAGTCAAGTGATCCCTGGACATCTGTACACGGTATAGTATACGTAGTGCGGATACGTACTATATGCGTAAGGTGGGTGTGGTCCGGCAGACAGGCGGACGCGCCTAGCAGCCGCGCCGCCTTGCCCGCAGAGCGCGAGCGCGCCTCCAGCTGCGACACACTGACGATAGCGAGGCGCTCTCATCGCTACCAGTATACTGGTGTGGTTTGTTTGTTTTTGTTGTCTTGTTTGATAGCACGTGTGATTGACCCTGATATTTGTTTTCATTCCTCACTCATAGACGAGATATTTTACAATTTTTAATAAACTATTTTCGTGGTATAAAATTTTAAACCACGAAAATATTCGTTTTTTTTTTTTAAATTTAAGATGACATTGGTCGCTATTAAATGATTTATTATGATTATAACTTATTGCATGAAATTTTCGTTAATGTTAAAATTTTAAATATGTAATCGAAATTTAAAAATGTACCTACTCTATAATTTAAATTGTTAAAATATTTATTTTTTGTTTTGTATTGTCATAATAAATTGTTAAAAACAACTTTCTTCTTAACTTTAGACGTAGTAAGTCAAATAAAAAAATATGTATAATAAGCAACTATTTTTAAACATTCAAAAAATAAAAAATAAACGATTTTCGACATGACGTAATGTCTTAGTGATGGGACATTATTACTGCGATAGATGGTTAATTGTCATTATTTGTTTGAGTGTGGAAGTGCTTTTTGTATGCTGTTTTTTTTTAAATTTAACAAAATACATTAATTACGCACTAACGTACGTTACTGACTACGTAAACGCAACTGATGCAGCCATATTTTTTTTGTCCCATAACAGATCTCGAAGGAAAGATATGTATACTTTTTTTTAATTGATTTTTAAACAGTTTAGTATTAACGACATTTTAAAATATTTTTTTCTTTGAGATTTTAGTCTGATAATAATCTTTATCAATAAAATTGATTGAATTGGCACTTCCCAATTCATTCGTACCGACACTAACAAGTGTGACCCGCTATACGAAAATAGTACAAATTATTTTGCATATTCGGAGCACATAAACCCATTTCTGTAAAAGTTGAAGATTACTTTCATGAAAAAGTATCATAATACACAATAGTTTCATTAATTTTAATCTTTTTAATATATTAGCGATTTATAGGCTAAATAAAAGCAAGAATTATAGACCATTGTTATTATTTTCTTGAAAAGATAATATCTAGCATAATATTTGAATGCAGTCTGCCGACAGATAATTTGTTTCCATCGTCACGGCCAAACTCGATCCAGTTAATAGCAAAGCAAGAAAATTTCAAAAACAGAAAAATTATAACCAAAAAGGTATTTTATTTTTCTTTTTAAAAAGCGCATTAAAACGACTATGGTAAAACATTGTAATTATCTTAAAATACATCTATTTTTTTGTTATATATTTATTTTAAAAATATTCCTTCAGGCCAATCACGCGTACTTACTTTTTTACTTCAAAAACCCCAATAAAAATATTTATTTTAAAAACCAACCAGTATACTAAGATAGCGTTTGCAAGCGAATGTTAGCTTTATATAGAGATTAACACATTATTTTAAAATATAATGCATAACCTCATTTACATCAACATCTCGTTACAAGCGTACACCAAAAGATTAAAAAAAATACAAACTAACACGTTTTTTTTTGTTATTTTTTATTAGTATTCAAAACATTCTTTAAATTATAAAAAAAAGAACATGTTAGTCTATATTATACACATTATTGGGGCTAAAAATCCCAAAAATGCTACATGCGATACATCTTGAGTTTGCACACAATGGAACAACATCAAAAGCTAGTTATTTTTTTAATAAAAAAAAGAATTAAAAAATTACATTAAAACCGTTCATTATTATTTCAAATTAGATTATTTTTTTAAATCAGTTTTACGCGCAAATTTGTCGTTATTAATCTTAAATCTAATTATTGTAAATGTTTGTGTTTACTTATAAATATATAAAAATAGGGATTTTTGTTTGTTTATTTATATTAACGTCTAATGAGAAAAAAAAATAAGGAATGAATTGAAATAGTTGTAGTTGTAATTGAAACGTTCTTAGATCCTTTAAATTTTTTTTATAAAATTCTCATATTTTGGGAGTGTAAAATACAATTGTGTAATATAATAATGTGTAATGTATTATATAATCTGGATATTGCTGTGAGAATTATAAATAAATAAAAACCTTACAAAACGAATAGATTAGTAAAAGTGACAACACAAACACACGCACACTCACACAAAAAAAAACATGTTAAAATGGACATCACAAAAACATTGTACTAAAAAATAACCCAAAAATTTTTTTTCATAAAAAAACCATTATGCAAATTTTACATATATTAACTCCTTCACCACAATCATTAATTGAAATTGATTACTGAATGACTTTTTTCTAAAATGATTCTATTATTTAAAAAATATATAAGTAGCATTAATAAAATATTTTTTTTTAAATTAAGCCATTTATTTTCTTTTGTCAATGAGCTTTAGTTTGTACTTTTGATAAGGCAGTAACTTTACAGTAGTTTTACTCAAATAAAACATTTGGCACGTGTGAGATTCGAACCCAGGACATTATTTATACCTTGCTGCTAAATCTAATATTCTTATGATTTGTTTCAATATTAAAATCATAGAACAAAATAAGCTAAGCTATTTACGTTATAACTTCATTGGCTCACACGTGAAAATTCATGCACACACACAAAAAAAGTGTAATATAATGTAAAATATATCCTCGTCATGTAACATTAATATTTTTCGATTTCTTACTCTCTAATTTCACGAAAAAGTAAAATTATATTTGTTTTATAGATTTATTAAAGCAAAATCAATTTATTTTTTGAGATAAAAAGAAATTGATAAATTATTATAGTTTTGCTACTATTTTTTATCTATATCAATAACTAAAAAAAACTTGATCATGACCGTTACTTGAATTTTAGTATAAAATCGGTAAAAAGAAAATATTACACTTTTAATTATGATTTTGTTATTTAATGTTACATGATAAGTCAATAAAGGTGCGTATGGAATATAAGGAAGGAATAATAATAATAGAATATATTAAATAATCGTGTGTAGAGGATGTTAGCTCACGTTGTGTGCATACTTCACGATGCCTGTGCTTAATTTGATTATTTTAAGAAAAAAAAACACAAAATCTATGAATGTTGTGCAGAAATGATAAAAAAATACGAAGAAAATGATAAATTATTATTCATTTTAATAAATTTTTTATGTTAGCATTATAATGATTTCGGCACAACTTTAAATCGACATGACATCGATAAACTTCACAGATAAATAAGAAGCGAGACGAAAAGCATATTAAATTTTGCACAGTGGTTAGTTACATGCAAAGCGAACAAAGGTGTTTATTATATATTGATTTGTTTTAAAACATACGTTACCGTGATCGAAGACTTTCATAAGGAATGGCAATAAAAATATTTTTTTTTTTCATTTGTGTAAAATAAATTGCCATCTCTTTACTCCACACTAAACCTACACTATACAATCCGCATACTGATTAAATATGTTTTTGTTGTTCTAAACCATAGATACGTATGCTGATTGTAAAGATAATAGGATAAAAAAGAATTACCATACACTTTGCAATAATAAGTCCAATATTTTTAATTTCAAAAAAAGAAAAATACATTATTTATATAATTCACATAATTTTAAGTAAATGTACAGCTAAAAATTAAATATTTTCGGACTTAAAATATGCAAAACAAATGAACAGTGATACAGGCGCGTGCAAAGCGTGTCTTACCTTTGTATACGTGAACGTTGGCAGCCGACTTTCGTTCTTATTAACATCGAAATTAGGTCGAGATTTGTTTGCAAATGTTATCATCTTATTATTGGCCATACCACAAGATAACAAAAAAAACGAACAATTAATATAAAGTGCCTTTTTTACACATAATTTAATATACTTTAACCGCTTTATTTTATCGACCAATCTCCTTCTTGACTTCTCCATTCTCCGTGACATTGGCGAAGTGCTCAACTTGCACGTTTATAAGCCACTAGCGACTCACCCTCGCTTCGCTCGGGTTCGTCCTTAACTTGATTCCCCATACAAGCTTTAATACCCATTTTCATCCACTTAAGGGATGATTTCCGGGATAAAAAGTATCCTATGTCCTTCCCAGGGTCACAAACTATCTTCTTACCAAATTTTATCTAAATCGGTTCAGTAGATCCAGAAGTTACCCCCTACAACGTCACCAACTCACAATCTCACAAACTTTACCTCTTTATAATAATAGTATAGATAAACAAGAAAATTGAATTGAACTACAAATCTAATTTTACATTCATTGAAAATAAATAAGGTTTTTCAAGACTAAAAAAACTTATTATTTTGCCATGAAATTATTGGTTAATAATATTAACTTTTAGAAAACTGTTAAATGTTTTGATTTTATCAAGGGCCGGCCTTTAAATTATATATAACCATTATCTCGAACTAGTCTCGACGTTTAGTAGCTATAGTGCCATGTGCATACATACCATCACAGGTGAACACGTACGGACACTGTTAATACACGGTACATTCTCCTCATATCTAATAATATTTGTTTAAACTAGCATAAACTTGTCAAATTCTCAAGTAATATGTATATTTTAGAACTTATACATACTAATATTTTTAATATATATTATTTATACACTCAGACTAAAGAATTATATTAACGGAGTCCGCGAAATTACATGTCAAAGTCAAAAATGGTACGATTTTGTCATACAGATTGTTTACTTCCTTTAAAGAATAAGGAAAATTTAATGGGCATTAGCTAAATTATTATACAATTTTTGACAATAAAATATATGAGTAAGAAAAATAATACTATATTCTTTTGTATTAGTTCTCGTTAAAAGGCTTTTTTATTGTAATAAAATGCGTTAGCTATATTTCTTTTTTAACATTTATTTACTTATCACTCAGTATACAATTTTTCATTTGTATACTATTTTAAATAATTATTGTTTGGCTTCATGTTTTGTTCAATGACACTCGGTCTATATTATCTCTCTGTATATATTTTTCCTGAGTTTGTCAAAATTATTAATAAAATGATTTTAAACATTTCTTGTACTCTGTATAATATTGGGTAACTAAAAATGGTTCTATAAGTTAGTTATACGTCATTATAGTTTATGCTAGTTTATTAAAATCGAATAGACGATAACATATTACTTTTCATGTATTACAATTATGATTTTTATTAATATGATTTTTTGATATGTGTTCATTTTAATGTGGGTCTGTTATTCATCCCTTATCCCGTGAACCCCTTTTATGTTATGAGCCCCGTTATTTTAAAAATACATCTATTTTGTGTACTGTAGACAAAATAAATAGCCATTTGTTTAGAAATTGTTTGTATATTATAGTGAAGTTAATTAACTCAAATATTTAAAATTTTTAAATAAAACGATTTCGTCGAGTTTTTCGCGGTTTTATTTTACTCTTTTGTTACTGACGTTTCAAATGCTTTACAGAAAGCAGCAGAAAAAAAATAAAACCGTAAAAAATCTGGACATACAGTTTTATTTAAATTGTATGTATATTGTATACTGCAAACCATCTGTTTATTTAAGTAACAATAACATGAGTTTTATGTATGTAACCCAACATAACATAATATGCTTCAATAATTTTGTAAATTGTTTTGTAGAGTCAGAAAGGTATTTCTTCGTTGTGCCATATAGTAATTTATAATTAAATATTTTCTATTCTAATAATGGGTGGTGGAAAATTCATTAAGGAGGAAAAAAATAATGTTTACTATATGGCATTACGTTATTATTACACCATGTATATATCAAGAATATAACCTATGTATACATTCACCACATGTCATGTTTGATGTGTATATTTCAGACTACGTTCACGTATGTGTATGTGTCGAATCACACTGTATACAATCCCCTTATACATATAACCGTGTAATGTATACAGGTTTAAATTGGATAATTTAAGTGTATATGTTGACTCACACTGTATAGTGTATACATAATTATGCATACAGGTTGTTTTAACTTCGTAACTGCCTATAAATATACACATGTAATCTTTACAGTGTTTTGATTTTGACGAATAGATTGACAAAGGGTTCTCACCTCAGCGGGGGCCCGTAATAAGGCACGGAGCGTGGAGGCCAAGTGGGGCAGCAGCTTGGCGCGGGGCCCGGCGGAGGCGCCCAGGGGGCCTCGCACTAGTTCCAGTAATGCGTGTAGTCGCTGGTTAGAGAGCCGGCCCAGAGGGAGGGCCTCGAGCGCCCATACTGTGTATTCGCTGGAATTGTTATTATTGTTTATTTTTTATATTGGCAATAGTGATGATATAAATTTTATGTAATTAATGTTACAGCTCATATAGAAACTTCATTATTATTTATATTAATAAGTGAAGCATAATAAAAAAAAACATTACACACACTACCATGTATTTGACACACACGCATATATACTTTTTTGTTCATTGTTAAAGTCTGTGGTTAAATTGAGAATTATGTACAGTTTAATAGCTATTGACGAGCTTTAGTTTTATAAATGAAAAAACATCTATAATAATCATGGTCTAAGTACGACCACTCGGCGAACTCTAGTTACTTATAGTCATTTCAATCATAAGATGAAAGAAGCAAAGGTGTATTGCATTCAAATAATTTCGTAAGAATATAATATGTTTCGTCATTTTTCTTTTCGGAAAAACGCCGGTCACCCAGGCACTAATGTGTGTGCACCTGTGTGCGTGTGTGCGCGTCCTACCTGAGCTGGGTGTCGGGGTATATGCGTATGAGATGGGGCACGGCGTGCGGCAGGTACTTGAGCGCGGAGCCCTGGCACGTGAGCGCGTGGTCGCCGCACCGCATCAGCCACACCAGCGCCTCCAGCAGGCTCTGCGTACGTACACGTGTAACGGGTTAGTCGTTTATTTATAACATGTAGCTTACCTAGGTGCCCTAGGTGTTTTGTGTATTACATAATATAAATGCGAAAGTTTAGATGGATGGATGTTTGTTACACAATCATGCCAGAACTCTGAACGGATCTGGATAAAATTTGGCACAGAGATAGATTATAGTCTGGAATAGCACATAGGCTACTTTTTATCCCGGAGAAATGTACGATTCTCGTGGGATAGATTTTTTTTGTTTTTCTACTAAACTTTCGCATTTATATTATTTATTATTTTGGATTCCATCCCGGATTTAATTTGACTTTTTCAATGATCATCAATCAAGTTGTACAGCACCTTACAAGATACTTCAGTCCTATTTCTACTTTCTTCCAAATGAATATATAAATTTATAGATAAACAAAATAATAGTAATAGCTATATAACATCGTTGTATAATAAATAATATAAAAAAAAACCAAACAACACCGACCAAAAAAGTACTGGATACACAATCCCATGCAAAAGTTCTCTTGAAACTGTCAGCACTTGTGTTTAGGTAATTATTCTAGTTGAAATAAATATACAACAATGTAAATTGAACCTTCAATGCAACGTTTAAAGTTTTTTTTTCACAAAAATATTTTAAAATAAAAACACGCTCAAATGTTCAAACGAGCGCTCATTCGGTGAGGACATTTTTGTCGCTGTTCGTGTATCTAGTATTTTTTTGATTGATGCCAAGCAAAAACAAATCTTCCATCAATTAAAACATGAAAGGATCAACCCAGAAGCCGTGGTACCTGCAGATCATGACAGTGCAGCAGGTCAGCGCTCAGCGCGGAGCGTAGCTGCCACGAGCGCACCAGCACGCGCGACAAGCTCTCCAGGCACTTCATGCACTGCAGCAGCCGCTTGGACGCCGCCTCACCCTGCTCCGCGGACCGGATGGCCCACACCATTATAGATATCAGCTTCCTAGTTTCAAAGAAACATTTTGTTGGTTATTGGTTTTACTGGCGACACACAATACTTTCTTAGATTTACTCGAATATTTGACATTTTAAGTAAAACTATCATTTCGACTCTGTTGCGATCAAAGCGCGATCGAAAGAGTCCGAAAAGATATTTTTTTATTGACGACACATTTGGCTCAGTTTGTAGTGACCGTACTTGCTGTGCCAGCGGGTAGCGGGTTCGAGTCTCGCTGGGGGTATACATTTGTGTGATGAGCAGGAATGTTTGGACTTCAGTCATAGGTGTTTATATTTATAATATGTATGTATTTAAAGTAATATATGTGTAGTGTACCAACTATCTGACATCCATAACACAAGCCTCGTAGGTCACCATGGAACTAAATGGTGCTGTGTGTTAAGTGTCCCAACATAAATATTTATTATTTACTTAAAAAAGTATTAAGTTAGTAGTTTCGAATGCTTTACAGCAATCATGGCCACGGGAGAGACTAATGTTTTATACGTCTCAAATTTTATTAATTTATTATTAACTCACTCGTATGCTAACGCATCGCAGAAACTCTTCTCGATATAAACGTGCAGCACCGGCTGGAAGTGCTGGTACTTGTGGTCAGTGACGAGCGCCAGCACTTGCAGCAGGCAGTCCAGCACTAGCACGGCGTAGCTCTGCTCTGTGTACTCTGGTGTGTCTTCTTCCACCTGGAAAAGAGGATATATTTGTGTAAAAGACACTAATAGAGGTATTTGCTTAAGAATTTGTCATATAAATATGTAATATTCATTTTTGCAGAGTTGTTGAATTTGCAATTCTGTGCGTACATTTAATCGTGCACTACACATTCTTGTACTATACTAGTATGTTGGCGAAACAATAAAACTATTTTATTAACAAAAATGGGTAAAATATATTAAAATAAAAAAAAACTAGAAATCAAAATCCTTTGGAATAGAAAATACAACAAGCACCATCTACGGATATCCAAAACAAAATCAGTTAAGTCAAGAATTAAAAATATAACTTAATTTCATCACTCTTTTCCCATTTTTTCCACACACTAAATTTTTGAGGTTTCATTATAGCAACTATGGAGCGTACTTCTACCCTCCATAATAGCAACAGACCGTTACATACAACGCCATCTACCGAATAGATATAATTTCTTCTACATCTTGTCTGTATTATGTAACTTTGTAAAAATAAATATTCCCGATGCAAGCATTTCAGCTGTCGAATGTTTGATGCTAACTTCGGCCCGTACCGATTTGAAATATAATTTTTAGTGCAAATTTACGAATTCATACATTTAAGTCCCGTAGAGTAATTATTATAATAGGTACGTTTTAATTTTTTTGAGCGGAACCCTAATTTTTTTCTAAAATAAAAGTAGCCTACATAGGCGTTATAGGGTGAATAACATTATTCTCCCTATAACGTTAGCTATCTTCCAGTGAATGCCCCATCAAAATCAATCCAGCCATTTCAGAGATTGTCCGGAACAAACAGACAGACGGGCAAAAATTAAAAAAAAAATGTGTTTTTCTTATATGTACCGTATAAATTTCATACGCATTTAGTATTTAGTAAAACGCTGTTATATTGACCTTACAAACAGACAATTCAATTTTATTTATCTGTATAGATTATTATTTTATATTTATTTTCCTTCAAACGAAATCTTCATATCACCTGTGTGAGTATACAGAAGAGCGCGTCGAGTATATCCTGCAGGAACTTGACGAGCTCGTCGTTGGGCACGCGCAGGAGCCGCGTGAGCGCGCCGCGCAGCGCGCCGTCGTCCGCCGCTGTTGCACTCCATTTTAATACACCGAGGATTTCCTCTGAAATGGATAATATTTGGGTTGTTATTTCATGTTATATTACTATCCATAAATAACATTAAATACGAAAGGAAGGGTATCGATAAGGTCTCGTTTCTGCCTGAAAATGATAGAAAAAATTATGCTCTAGGATTTGATATTTTCTTCGTCACGGCGTGATATATCGGCCTCGAAGGATCATCGGAGAGTATATGCGTGTGTCAGGGGCATACCTCGCTGCGTGAGCTTGGTGGAGCAGAGGCGCGTGGCAACGGCGAGGCAGTCGCGCGGCTGCAGCGCCAGCGGCGCGCGCGCCAGCCCGCGCTCGCAGCCTGCCGGCAGAGACGCGCGCCGCGACGGCAGTTGCAGGCACGCCAGCGCCGCCTCCGCCTCCGCGCCCGCCGCGCTCGCGCTGCGCTTGTACTCGATCTGGGTGAAGGATTTCATTATTAAAGTAAAACTTCTTTAGTGAGATTCAAATTTATTATTAATACTTTTATAATAATTATAATTGAAACTTATAAAAATAAATATTTATTAGTAATAATTTCATGAAAATTAAATTTATATTTTGGTCTGTTTTAAATTTAATTGTAGTAACTGCTGAACCCCAAAGTTTTACTTCAGCCGCACACATTTTAATACTTTCAATAAAAAACTTTTTAACAAAAAAATAAAAACCGACTTCAAACGAAAGCACTAAAAAGTAAAAAATAACTGATTGATAGTTTTCATTTATTATACATACCTTATCAATTATTGTGCTTTGCTTTGTATGGGCTGGCACCGATTTCGAAAATATTTGATTAGGTATGTATAATAAATGAAAACTGTCAATCAGTTATTTTTTACTTTTTAGTGCTTTTGTTTGAAGTCGGTTTTTATTTTTTTGTTAAAAAGTTTTTATTTTTCCCTTTTTAGTGTAGACAGTAGTAGCAAAGTAAGAATTCTAAAGTGTTAGGCTTGTCAAACCAAACAAAATAAGCCCAAACTCAAAGTATCTACTATTAGTTGTTGAAGAGTTCCACCTATCCACCCTCTGGCCTTACCATCAGATCAGGTCAACAATACCGAACCACTGTACTATCAACGGAAATAGAAACACTTGCAAAGTTTCAAGTCAATATGACAATTAGAAGTAGGTTAAATTCATTATTAGCTATTTTTGCACCCTTAGGGATGGTATTTTTTTTTGAAATTTAAATGGGACCAATCTGGAAGTATACCCTTTCAAAATAAACAAAAAATGTCCAAATCGGTTAATAAATGACGAAGTTCTGAGGTAACAAACATAAAAAAAAAAAAACAAAAAAAAATACAGTCGAATTGAGAACCTCCTCCTTTTTGAAGTCGGTTGAAAACATTATGACACATATTGCTAAGACAAAATGAAAAAAATACTTTTCCATGACAAAAAATACAAGAAATATAATAAAAATTAAAACGTATTTTTTTTTAATTACTATAGATAAGATCATATTATGAGACATTAACCTCAGAAAGAAACCACTAATCGCTTCAAACTAAACTACATCTATATTTGTTGAAGTCAGTTAACCCATCTAAGGAATAACCATTACATTACATATAATACTAGCTACTTACTCCCGCTTCGCTCGGGTTCGTCCCTAACTTGATTCCCTATTTTCACCCCCCTAAGGGATGATTTCCGAGATAAAAACTATCTTATGTCCTTCCCAGGGTCTCTAAACTATCTTCTTACCAAATTTCATCTAAATCGATGCAGTAGTTTCGTAGCTTATTCGGTACAAACAAACAAACAAACAAAAAAATTATTCCTCTTTATGATATTAGTATAGAAGTATAGATTACCTATACAAATTTACCTTATAAACAGCTAAATTATGCACAGTATCAGGCGTAGTGGTGCCTTCCTTCTGCATGAGGCGCAAGTACGAGAGCGCAAAGGGTTTCTCAGCGCGGTCCTTTGCTTCGTTGGAGCTGCGATGCCTACAGAGGAATACTATGTGCGCTTCTTTGAACTCTTCTATGTTTAGGCATACCTGGAATTTAATATGATATATTATATAATGCAGTCTAGGCAATGGTAGGTAATCCCAATCGATTGGTTTGGAAGATTTTTTTTAAAGATACAAATTGGCGCTTGAAATCTGCCATTTAATTTTTGAACTATTTTTATATATCCTAGAGACACTCGCGTTATCAAGACGAATCTAATCGAAATCGGCCTACGCATTTGGCCTCTAGCATGCCATATGGGAACAAACATACATACATACATAGGCTGATAAACACATTACCCTCCTTTGCGTCACGCAATCAGATTAAAAGGTGTGAACACTACTAGATAATTCTAAAACTTATATTCTTTAATGGGACTATTATTATAAATGCAAAACTTTGTATGTGTGTGCACGTATGTTACTCCAGAACGCCCAAACGGCTTGATGGATTTTAATGAAATTTAGGATATAGATAGACTGGAGTAACACTTAGACTGTTAGGCATCTAGGGACGCACTTGAGAGATGAGAGTAATCCCTTCAGCAATATATTATAAGCATAATCAAATATTAAACCAAGTGTTCACGTAAATAAATATAATAATGTATTCACATCATTGATCTATAAAGACATAGGTATACATTTCCTAACAAATATCTCTTCAAAAATCGCACAATTTAAAATTGTGTGCTCCTTTTTGAGGACACTTCTAATTATGGTATCTTGGGTTTTTTTAATATCAATGATTCACATAAATGAATATTTTATAGAAGATGGCACGCCTTGAGAATGATGTGATGATCTCCAGACTTTTTTTGTAGAAATATTGTAATTTATAATTTAACTACAAAAAAAAAATTCTTCACAGGACTTCAGCTTTTTCTTTCAAAACTGATGGTAGACTCATGGCGTTCAGTAAAAATGTAATAATTTAATACCTACCTTAAACACTTCCTGCCACCTCGGCTTGTCCTCGTGGTAGTACACCACGGACGTGAACTCGTCCACCAGCGGCACGCCCGCGCCCACCGATATCACACCCTGCGGTTAGTTATATAATAGATATAATTAATATATAAGTTATAAATATAATAAATATATATGTCGGAGACGAGTCATAATCACAACTAATCGGAACGGGAGCGCCACCTTTTTGGGTTCGACAGTCTACGTCGTGACACTCGACCGAGCTCGGCTGAGTTACGCTTGGTGTTGGTCGGTCGCACACTAGTAGAAACTGTCTTGCGTTCCGTATTGTCTATACGTGGTAATAGTGAAGTGGTATATGGCTGTGTAGTGAAGTGCTTGCTATATGGTTGTGTAGTGAAGTGCTGTGTAACTATGTACAAAGTGATTATTGTTAATTTGAAATACTACTTTGATTGCAATGACTTTTATTTGAACCAACACTTCCCATATAACGCCCACTGTATAAGTCATGATAAAATAATGGAAAATAATAGAGAAAATTAATGCAGCTTCGATATATACGTTACGTTTCAACGTTTAGTATAGATTTCTCAGAGATGAGATATTTTCCCGCAGTAAAGTGTCCTATATGTTGACCCGGATAACCAGCTATCATCGTATCAAATTTCATCAAAATCTGTCCAGTGGTTTACTCGTGATGCGTTCCCAAACAGACAAACAAAAACATTATAGTCTATAGATTCGGTCTCTATATATGGATAATAATAACTAATTTTCAAAGAAGAAAAAATTTGACAACGTCAATACAAAATTTATTGTGTAATCGAAATTTATTTTAAAATATACCCAAAAATAACATTAATAATTGAATTAATAGTATAAAAAATGTTTTAAAACACAACAAAATCGAAAGTGCATAATATTTAACACCATTCAGACAAAGAAAGACAATAGCATTCCCAAGGAGGGTTGACGTCAGGCAGGCGGCCGGTCGTAAAACTTTTGCCAAATCCTATCAGCAGTACACTGAAGATGTACTGCGCCGACCCCAAGTGATTTGGGAAATGGGCAGGGAGAAGAAGAAGAATAACTAATTTTCAAAAAATAATTAATGAACAGATTCGACCCTAGAATTTTATTAAATGTATAGATTTTCTCAGACTAAGGAATAATATGGACTGAGTGTTATAAAACTTAGCATGAAGCCATTTTTTCAATCACATTTAAGCTATTATATTGGCAAAATTTGTCTTCACTAACACGTTAAGTTTTGTAAAATTAAAAAAGAATAACATTATCTTGAATCAAACCAATTTGAAGTTCAGAAGTGTTTTTATACGACAATTGAGGAAGGGCTTTAGAATTTATTTATTTATTTAAATTAAATGGGTGGCACTAAAGCGTTTTAACTTTAAAACCATTCACTATGCAAATTAATATTTTTAGCCTTGCCTTTGATAGCATTTTCCTTAAAATCAAAGGTCACTGTATGATTTCTTATAATGTGGTGGAAGTAAGGTGGGGCGAGACGGAGTGAGGTGGAATAAGCTCGAATAAGCTAGTGCGGTTCAGTGACGTGAAATAGCGTGGAGCGAGGTAGAGTAAGATGGAGTGGAGTGGAAGGAACTCGAGTAAGCTAGAGTGAAGTACAGTAACTTAGAATAAGATGGAACGAAGTAGAGTAAGGCGAAGTGAGGTAAAATGAAGTGCAGTAAGGTAGAGTGAAGTGAAATAAAGTGATATAAGTGTAGACACTCACAGGTATAACAACCCCATGTTTATCCACAACCCTCGCAGCCAGCTCAATGTTCCTCTCCGAGGACTTCCCCGAGCCGCGCGAGAAGGAGCCCCCGCACAGCGTCACGTAGAGGTCGTTGCGCGCGTCGCCCGGCAGGATGACTTCGGGGAACCCCATTTTTCGGGCGAACACTGTATTTCCCACCACCATGTGGGGATTCTCTTGGCGGATCTGGAACATTTTAAGAATGCTGTTTGGAATATGACATATTTATTGAGTATTAATAGACAAAAATATCGTATATAATACACTTACTCGAATGAATCGAAGGTTAGTTGATAGTTTTTAATAAAAGCCGAAAAAATATTTGCTATAAAATACTATGACACATTAACATACGTGTGTTTTAAATAATAATAATAATATTTTAAATATACCTGTTTCAAGTCACCCTCCACCATTTGCAAGAACACCCACAGCCCTTGCGCGTGTTTGTCTTTGAGCTCCCTGTTTGCTATCACTTTCTTCAATAACGTGTCCATATTTTCTTTTTCACACCTGCAATATAATCAGATGAACCTTTAAATAAACTATTATATTTCAACAGTCTTCAGACTTCCACTAAATAGTAAAAAATGTGCCACGACAGGCACTAAAAAGCAAAAAAATAACTAAACAGGGGTTTTCATTTCATCATTAAATGGGGCCACCTGGGTATTATACCCTTCGAAACAAAAAAAGAATTTTCCAAATCAGTTCAGGCGTCTTCGAGTAATCGGTGAACATAGATAAAAGATTCCGACGAATTGAGAACCTCCTCCTTTTTGAAAGTCGGTTAAAAACGGCTAAACGCCAGTACATACATATACTATGACCTGGATACACCTAGTACACATTGTAAGGCTGGTACACATTGTAGTTTACATAGTCTGCCCGTAACGACGGCTGGTGCAACCCAGTCGAAACGTCGAGAATACAGATATTTTGAAACTTACGAATAAACGCGTTTAAGACCCGTAGTGTCATTAATAGGCTGTGTGAACTTAAAACCCGACTTTTGTGTTGGGTGCTAACTTCACACAGCTTGATTATTATTATACTACTAGCAACTCACCCTCGCTTCGCTCGAGTTCGTCTCTAAGTTAATTCCCCATACGAAATTCCATCCCCATTTTCATCCCCTTGAGGGATGATTTCCGTGGTAAAAACTATCCTAGGTCCTTCTCAGGGTCATAAATTATCTTCTTAACAAATTTTATCTAAACCGGTCCAGTAGTTTCGGTGCCTATTCAGTACAAACAAACAAAAAATCAAATCTTTCCTCTTTATAATATTAGTATAGACTATAGATGAAGGTATACTCTGTTCAGATACTCACGCATAGAAAGGCAACTGTATCTCCTTATCCGAGTTGTCGGAGGCGAGGTGCATAGTGATGTCGGCGCTGGCCACGCCGAAGGGCCGGCGCATGGTGTGGGCCGTCGGGGAAGGCGGCCCACTAATGGTGCTGCGCCGGTGGTCCATGTTCTGGGGTTCCATGGACCCGAGCCGGACCACGTGGCAGACTAGGTGGATTTTCTCCTTTTTGATATCGCTGCCTAGGTCCTGGGGGAGAGTGGAACGCCATTATGATAATTAATAACCATTATTTATATATTTCGTTAAAGTTAAGAATATTAATACAATCAATTTTTTCGCGACTATAACCGACGATCATGACAGATTCAAAAACAATCGAAACGTCGGAAACCAATAGAAAAGAAGAATAAATCCACGAAAATATCAGAAAAGATAGTTTAATCTAATAATACGAATAATTCTTAGGAAGAGCGCTAGTAGTAGTGCAGTAAAAACCAAGTCAAAGGGGTTTAAACCAGGCGTTTTCGACGTATCAGGCGTCTTACAATTTTTTACATATACAATACTATCAATAAAAAACTACACGAATACAAGAGAGCCACAGATAAGACTTGTTAAAAAGTAACAATAATATGTACATCACAACTCACCGTAAAAACGACAGATGGCGCTGTAAACAATTCCGCCGCGCCCAAATGTCCCGGCGGCCATTTTAACAGGACATTTTCAGTTATTTTACTACCAGACGAGTCGTGTAAAGCTAATGAGAGCTCTGCGGTATCACTCATACGGCAGACGAAGTTTTTTATATGAACTACTATGGTGTAGGTGCGAGCGGTGGGGGTTTGACTTGTAGGTCGACTGCTTGGGGTAGTTTCCTAAAAGAAATAATATAAATTAATAATTTATAGTTTCTAAAACAAAAAATACATACTTTTGATCAACACTTTAATAATAATTTTAATAGATATAATTTAAAAATCAAAATATCAAATTGACCAACTATAATAAATCGTGCTTATCCAAGTAAATCAAATGAAAAACACACAACATGATAAATTTACTCAAAGCTATTGAAGAATTCCTGAACGACTACCGGTCTTCTGACTCCATCATCTCCCATCAGTCTACTCGATGGTAGCAAATCATCATCTTTCACTTATAAGAAACAAATAAAACCCTATTATTAATAAATATTATTAATAAATAACCACATAGATACACATTTCCCAACAAATATCCCTTCAAAAAGTAGCGTCGACATGTGACGTTAAGTCAAACCAAAGAATATACTTCAAAAATCGATAATCCTAATTGTCTAAGCACTTTGAACTTACGCACACCACATAAAGTACTTTATTAAACGAAACAACGCGCGTTTAAATATGGTCATCCAAAAATTAATAAACAAAAGAGTTTTCTTTCTTAGATTTACGCGAATATTTGACATTTTAAATAAAACTATCTTTTCGGATTTTGTCGCGGATTTATTGGCATTTTTGTTTCCCGACGTTTCGAATGCTTTACAGCATCCATCCTTAATTAATTTTAACTTTTTAAATTACACATAGAACAATTATATGGCTTAAATAATTAATACTATATTTTATATTTTTCTTTATGGTTATAAATATAATAATGGCAACACTAAATATAGATTACTAATTAATATTTTAAAATTGTAATAATTATAAAAATAATAGCAAAAATTAAATAAATAATTTTCCATATTCAATTATAATTAAAATTATAAAAATATTTAAAGTTAAAAAAAAATATTGTAATGTAATTGGTGCAATTTTCATTTTGTTAATTGTGGGTAGGCTGTCTGTAACAACTATACGTTCAAGACATGTAACATCTCAGTCTCTCCCGTGACCATGGATGCTGTAAAGCATTCGAAACGTCGGGAAACAAAAATGCCAATAAATCCGCGACAAAATCCGAAAAGATAGTTTTATTTAAAACAAAAGAGTCTTGAAAAAAGCGCACAATTTCGAATTTTGCGCTTGTATTTTGAGGACACTTTTGAAACGCGAATAGTATTTGAATTTTTGTATATAAATGTAAATAACATACCATATTCTTATCAATCCTTGAATTCGCTTCATCGTGTAAAGCATTCAGTTTAAATGTAGACGTTGTCAGTGGATCGACTAGTTGGCCGCTTATAGTTCTCACTGCTAACTCCATTCCTAGCGTTCTGTTAATAAAAGAAAATAATATATCGAAAATTTGCAAAAAAAACAGACTTAAAATGTACATTTTAAAGCTGAAACTAAGCTCATAGATAAGGCAAGTCTTACTTGTACTTTTTATTACAGTATTGGGTTCCATTAGGAGAACGTTATAAGTTATTACAAGGAATTAGATGTTTGAAATAATACATATTTTTTTTTATTTTTCTTTTCGATATTTTCGACATTTTTTTTCGAAATTTACTTACTGTGTTTTATTTACTCTGACAGACTATCTGTGTACTAAATTTCATCATCAATCCGAATCGGTTCAGTCATTTTAGCGTAAATAAGTTACAACGACCAACTCACATACACAAACAATAATTGTGTGTGTGTACAATAGCAATCCAATATCAAATATATACGTATAAACCTAACTCAGTGCCTCAATACACACCTGTTCCCTTTATCAATAGTGAACACAGCAGTTCTAGCCACTCGTCGTAACTGATCCTGTGGTAAAGCCCCCGTCGCTGCCTGCCCACGTAGCTCTAACAACGCACGCATGCTCACCTCCATGAATTTGAATCGTTCATCGTTCGTCTGGAAGAGAGAATAACTTTCATATATATATATATATATATATATATATATATATATATATATATATATATATATATATATATATATATATATATATATATATGTATATATTTAAGTTGGGAAATGCGTATACACATACCTGCAGGTTTATGTAGACATTGACTAGAAAAGCCAGTCCTACCCACTAATATCCAACTGTACCTTCCGTCTTAATGAGGTGTTGTAGGATCGCTTACGCACTCAACCACCACGTTTCGACGGCAGGTCTACCGAAGCAGACCACAACAGCCAAGGGGTTGCTCCAAGGTCCACTCTGCTACCCCCCCAACGTGCGTTCACCTTGTCGTGGTGGGGGGGCTCAGTAGTGCCCGGCAATCCAACCGGGCGCGAAGCCAAGAAACGCACAGGGAGGTGGCCCACTTCGGTGGGCGGTGGGAGATGGCCCTCTTCGATGGGCGGTGTACCATGCGGATTGCTCCTTGTACTTCTCTGATAGCAGAGTGGACCTTGGAGCAACCCCATGGTTGTGGTGGTCTGCTTCGGCAGACCTGCCGTCGGGGCGTCGTAGTTGAATGCGTAATTTCCCAACGTTAAAAAAAAAAGGTCCACTCTGCTATCAGAGAAGTACCAGGAGCAACTTGCATGGTACACCTCGTGCCTCCCAGTGTATCTCTTCTCTTCGCGAGCGGCTTAACCGGACGCTAATAAGTTTGTCAGATTGCCCACAATTGGTCAGGAGGATATTATTATTGATTTTTTTGTCAGCAAATCGCTTTACATTGTTTATACTACATTTACATAAATAATAAAAATACTGATTTTTATACAACATTTACAAAGATAATAAAAAAACTGATTTATTATATAACTCACTCTGTACAAAGTTTTCCAGTGCTGAAGCCATTCACGTAACGTGATGGCAATGTCGTGGACCACACCGCTGCCACCGGCAGACGCGACCACGGTCTCTCCACACCTTGAAACAAGAAATAAAATATTTCATTTAACATAGAACTGTTATGTGTGTGTCTGTTAGTCTTTAACATTGAAAATGCTAAACAGATTTAGATCAAATGTAGTAAGTATATAGATGGACTATGCGATGAAGCAACACCATAAGCGGTAATTTTATTCATCTAGAGACACACCCGAGCGAAGCAAGGATAAGCCACAAGTTTACACATTAATCTAATTTTGAAACATATCGAGAATATTTAAGTTAGTAAACAAATAAAAATCGACTTATAAAAATTATCTTCATATACTCGTACATACACTGAAAGTAAAAAATTTCCAACTATTCTATCTATATATCTTCTCATTAATTTATTATGTTACATACGTATTTCGTGAGCGGAGACGTAGGCTAACATTAGTATAATCTGTATTATTAAACATCGTAACTTAAGAATGAATATTACACATATTACTAAAAACGGTTTAACTTTGAACATTACATATGAAAAAGGAGTTTATTTTTAGGAGTATTTATAAATAGATGGGACAACTTTGAACTTTTATCATATCCCGTCTGTCGCACAATTGTTTTACACGATGCTTAGTGACATTGAATCGTTATTTTATTTCTTTTGACGTCATTGCTTTGTTTCTCAAAGGTTTATTCGAAAGCTAAAAAAGGGGAAGCGATATAATAAAATAGTACGTTGAGTTCGAGAGGGTATAAATCTTACTAATATTATAAATGTGAAAGTTTAGCTGGATGTTTGGATGTTTGTTACTCAATGACTTAACTACTTTAGACAGAACGACTAAACGGATCTGAATGAAATTTGGCGCTATATTTAAAATTAAGTAAAAGAACTAATAAATCACCCGACCACAATTTTAAATGCGAAATTTAACACGTATGTATGTATATTTGTTTGGTTATTCGTTCTAGCTGAATCGCTGGTCGGTTTTAGACGTTTTAATCCACATTTATGAACTTAGGAACTAGGGACGCTAGTTTTGAAAGTGTTAAGACCTACCCTATTGAAAAAGTCCAGTGGGATCTCATCAAATGCGACAAAAGCCACATAGAAACCAATAAAAGCCATACAGAAACCAATAAATATTTAGTGGTTTCTATGTGGCTTTGATGATGAGGTCTTATTGGAGTTTTTAAATAGGGTAGCCAGTGTTTGAAACAGATCTTAATTCATACAGCCCAATAAAAACACCAAATATCATCCTAATAAGGCATCTGCATGAGCCATATTTAACTGTTTACATTAGAAGGGGAGGTCGTAATAAAAAACAAGTAGCATAAAAAGCAGTTAAAAGTGATAATATTTCAATTAATGGGAGACGGGGCGTCATGATTCATTTGACCGCGATTATCAATAGGTCGGTGACCCGCCATTGCTCTGGCATTTTATGAACATTGCTGGATCAATCTTGATTTGTGTCAAAATTAAAGATCTACAGTCCTTCCGAGCTGGAGATTTTGTAGTAAATTAATTGTAAGATGCAAGAATTATATTATCTCGTAACATAGAATTTATTTTTATAGAAAATATTATAAAACAATAACTTTTTTTTTCTGTGTGTAAGTTTAGACGAAGTTTAATGGTTTAGAATTTACGTCACTCTATTTTGTTTATTAAATAATTTAAAATATATAAATATTGCTCAAGTATTCTTAACAAGTCCCGCGGCTCCGCTCTTATAGTAAGCGGGGCGGGGACGTAAGGTAATCTACATACATACATAATTCGTTGGCTCACTATTACAAGGTTCTATGTTAAAATTTTAGTACTTATTTAGTTATTAATGCTACAAGGTTCTATGTGTCATATGTGTATGTGTGTTAGCTACAGTTTTGCAAAAACAAACCACTAAATAGCGGCACTATAACTACAAAACATTCAATTTTACATATTTCTATGTTGTTTTTTTTACGATAACAAAATAACGAAGTTCTATGTGAAAATTACTAAACTTCATTAAAATTAACATAGAACCTTGTAATAGTAAGCCAACGAATTATGTCTGTAAAGAGATAACTGTAGGATAGACAGACATTTTCACATATACATATATAATAAAAGGATGGAGTACACAACAAATATGTGTATTTGGAAATCATATCAGAAGAAGATAAGATTAAATAAAGGCTCATCCCGTCAATTTATGAAAGTGAATATAATATTATATGGGAGTAGTTTCATGCAATGAATTAAAATTAAAGTTATATTGAGAAATAAAATTCAATAAACGTACATAAATATTCTAAATTAAAAACATATTATGGCCCATGGTGTATTAAAAGGAGGCCCGTGCCCAGTAGGACGTTAAAAAGGGCTGAATACAAACACATAATAAATATCTAAGATTCATTTCAATCTTTCGAGTAGATTAAGATATACTGCTTGAGCTCCTCGTTAAAAGCGTCCAATCATCATCGAAACAAACATTTTAATTATACCGGACTCGAACTTATGACCTACGCCTTAATAATTCCATACGTTTGTACAATAATCACATCAACGCTAACATGCGTTACTTATGTATGGTCAAAGAGAGACATAATTTTTTTCCGCTCCAAAAAGTCAGTTAAAGCTTGTTTTTTTTATTCCTTCAAGCTAAAACAGCTGTATTGAACGAAATTTAAAACACAGTTATCATTAGAATAATAAAATCTACTCTATGTCACCTAGAGAAGCACCCTAGCGAAGCGAGGGCACGGTAATCTATACATATAATAAAATTCTGAGTCGAATCTGTACATTAAATAGTTTTTGGAAAATCTTATTGAAACAGACATTATTATGGATCTATAGTTTTTAGAATTTTTGTCTGTCTGTCTGTTACCGCATCACATAAAACCACTGGAGGGATTTAGATGCAATTTGGTATCGTGATAGCTGGTTATCCGGGTCAACATATAGAATACTTTTTACCGCGGTAAATATCTCATTTCTGAGAAAAAATACAAAAACTGCAATGTAAGAGTATACTAATATGTAAAACCTAAGAATTTGGTCTTTGGTCATCTGAACGCGGGCGGAGCCGCGAGCAATGCTAGTGTTACATATTACCGTGGCAAGGGTAAGTCGTTAGTAACTTATATGTTCTACCTGCTATAAAATTAACTTATCCGACAAAAATATCAAGCTAATTAAAATATTTAGATGTTCATATCAATAATAATATAGGCAGGGTAAAAACTTTTCATTTGGTTAAAGTGCTTTGGGTTCACTAAGTTATAAAAGTGGGTCATCGCGAATTTCTCCGTCGACTACTTACTTGAAAAAGGTTGGATTTACGAAAGTGCATAATTTACTGTCATATTTTTATTTCGAGTGGGCGTTTATTTTGAAAGCCCGAGTTTATAGTTTATTACGAAATGCAAATGAATTTATTCAAACTACTGGCTTACTCTCGCTTCGCTCGGGTACGGCTCTGGGTGTCCTTAGCATGTATGATATTCCCACACTCGATGCTCTTAAATCTTCATTATAAAATATCACTCATTATATATACTAATATTATAAAGAGGTAAAGTTTGTGAGTTTTGTGAGTTTGTGAGGTTGTAGGGGGTAATCTCTGGATCTACTGAGCCGTTTTAGATGAAATTTGGTAGGACGATAGTTAGGGACCCTAGGAAGGACATAGAATACTTTTTATCCCGGAAATCATTCCTTAAGGGAGTGAAAATGGGGATGAAAGTTTGTATAGGGAATCAAGCGAGGGACGAACCCGAGCAAAGCGAGGTCGAGACGCTAGTTTTCTATAAATATAATATACATATTATTAAATTATATAATACATTAGTAAAAACATAGGAGGTTTATACTTTCATTTCACCCCCTTCAAGTTTTATATACGCGACAAAAAGCATATTATGTCCTTCTTCAAGATCCCATCTATCTCTAAATCAAAATTCATCAACATTGGTTTCACGGTATGGGTTTGAAAACGTTACAGACAGACAGACCAAGTTACTTTCATAATAATTGTAATATTAAGTATGGATATGAATTGTAACTTGAACCGCTTGATGCAGTCGAGATCAAAACTTGTTCGTAGCTTTGCAAATATATCATTAGAAGCATGTTTTACTGGTAATAAAGCAACTACTAAGCAAATGAAAAATAGTGAAGTATGAATATAACTAGCATTCGTCAAGGGCTCCATTCGCCTTTTATGAAATTTCATATCTATACTAATATTATAAAAAGCAAAGATTTTTTTGTTTGTTTGTACCGAATAACCTCCGTAACTACTGAGCCGATTTAGATGAAATTTGGTAAGAAAATAGTTTGAGACTCTGGGAAGGACACACCAAGGATAGTTTATATCCCGGAAATCATCCCTTACGGGGCTGAACATGGAAATGAAAATTTGTATGGGTAAGCAACCTAGGGACGAACCCGAGCGAAATCTGTCAGTAAGATGAGTTTAAGAGATTATTCTGAAAAACATATAGACAGTCAAATTTTACCTCTTTCTATAAATATAACAAAATATCAATTTATCCTCAACAATAACCTATCTATAGATGCAGTCGAATATCATATTAATTAATTATTATTTTTGTCTGTCATATTTCTTTGCTTCTGAGATGATGCTTGAGAGACCATAGCAAATTTTCGAAAGACATGAAATCCGCCAACCCACACTTGGCCAGCGTGGTGGCCAGATCCCCTCGTATGGTGCGGCCCACCTCTAGTGGGACGTTAAACATAGAGCTGAGTACATTATACATACATACATATTGCATTCCAAACATTCTTCAATAAGAAATCATTATATTATGAACAGGCTTTAATAAGCTTTACTTATAACTATATCAAATATTGGAAGTCGATTACAGTCTACTTCTATCGTGATACCGACAATATTTGTAACTTTGAAATAATGTTAAATCCAGATGATAAAATTATTTGATGTAAAATTCGGGCTCGTTCGATTTGTTGTCGTTTGTTTGTGTCGTAGTCTTGTACACCTATACTAGCGACTCACCCTCACTTCGTTCGGGTTCGACCCTAGCTTGATTCCCCATGCATACTTTCATCCCCATTTTCACATCCTTAAGGGACGATTTCCGGGATAAAAAGTATCCTATGTCCTTTCCAGGGTCTCAAATTATCTTACCAAATTTCATCTAAATCAGTTCTGTAGATCCAGAGATTACCCCCTACAACGTCACAAACTCACAAACTTTTACTCTTTATAATATTAGTATAGATCACAGTTAAAAGTTGAACAAAAGCATGCATTTTTAGTTTGTTAAACTAAATTATTTTTAACTGACTCCTTTACAATTTTATTAAATTTTAAGGATACATATTTCAATTCGTTACGAGTAGTTTTTGATTACCACAAGCTTTTTATTTCTAAAATAACATTTCGCAGTGATATATTCGAAGCGCGTAAACATCAACTATATGTTCGAATGAATATGAATAATATGGTGACAGTGTACGTAATACAAAAGAATTCAAAACATGAATGCAAATGCGAATAGCGTTTGTAATTAATCATCATTTACGCATGCGCCCTTTACTGATGTATTCAATTATTTATTTATATGAATAATAACTTTGCTGGAGTAGGATGAAATTTGAATTTGACTGTATCTTTCTATCTATCTCTCCCTCTCACTCACTCACTGTTTATCCCGAAGGAACGCCAAAGAAAACCAATACCCAGGAACAGTCTTACTTGGTAAGTTTGTACTTGTATTTATGTTTGTTAAGTATAATATATAAAGGTATAACACGAATCTACTATAAACAAAATATCGCTACATATTCAACTCTATAATACTCTATTATATGTGTATATTTACAAAGTTTTTTATAATATAGTTACCTATCAACATTGCACTCTCGTATGACCACATAGCCTTTAGGGAAAGCCCCACTCTTGTCCCTTCGCAGACTTGAACCCCAGTACCAATCTGCAGTCTCGCGTTCCAGGTGCACTAGCTCCCCTACCTCCAGGGGTAAATGGAAGGGGGACGACGAGTTAAAGTTATATAGAGCTGTAACAAAGTATAAAAATATTATTTGGTACCTTTTAATGTTTTCTTCGATTTTACTTATCTCTATTTTACCTAATTTTTGACTTAACAAATATTGTATAGCAAAAATATATCCATTGTAGTTAGTGTAATAAAAAAATCATGCTTACAATACATTACATATATGTACCTACCATATTTGTAATGTTTTTTAAACTTTACGATTTTTTTAAAGTTTCATTCTATTAATATTCCGGAATAACTCGCCTTATTTCCATTAAAAACTATAAAGTAGATTGGTTCCTAATAGATTTATTGTCTAGCATTCATTCTTAAGTTTGTGGGAACCCTTCTTTTCTATCCATACATTTTGACAACGTTTGGCACAGTTTGTAGTGACCCTACTTGCTGTGTCAGCGGTCGCATGTTCGAGTCCCGCTGAGGGTAGTCATTTGTGTGATGAGCACGAATGTTTGGACTTCAGTCATAGGTGTTTATATTTATAATATGTATGTATTTAAAGTTATATATGTGTAGTGTATTAACTATCTGACTTCCATAACACAAGCCTCGTAGGTCACCATGGAATTAAATGGTGCTGCGTTAATGCCCCAACATATTTATTTATTTAATGTAAGCCTAAATAGCAACCATATTTTAATAATACCACATTATTTCCAACTAATATCTAGCATTTTTTTAATATCAATATTTCTGACACCTCAATAGGTACCTATGTATATCATACCTAAGTCATGTTCACACTTAAAAGGCAGTTTCATTCATATTCATTTACTTAAATACAAGGTTAGTGTCTATAGTTAGCAAAACCTTGGCGTAACTTAGCCTCAAATTTTCATTAATATTCGTTCGATGACTGATGCGGCCATGGTGTAATTATTTAGGCATGTATGTGCAAATACAAATGCACACTAAAATCTAGAATTTCCTGGAAACTAGTATACAAAAGTCAGTTCTTAGTAATCAATCCAAAGTCCAAACGCCACTCTCTATCCACTTAATCCCTCCACGACCGCCGGCGTGTCAGTTAACAATTAACAATAGATTTCTTAGAATTTTATTAATTTCTTAGAAATTTACCTGGAGGTGTTAAAACTATTTTATACAAAAATTACATCTATCCATTGCGTTGATGTGTGACAGAAGGAGAATTCATAATACAATTTTGACATTTACATATATCTAAGTAGCGTTTACCCAAGGCTCATCCCACTTTATCACGATCTTATGTCTATGGCAGCAAAAACATAGGACTTTCATTTAAACTTTCAAGAACTCTTACACTATTTTAATACGGCTTTACCTAATCTAATAAACTCTAATATTTCTCATGGGAGTCAATTCAAATTTCCAAATCAAATTTCGAACTCCAACAAGTAAAACCACAGTACTATTAGGATATTCAGAAGACATTTTTTTATAATACGGAGTGTTTAAAGTTAAAAGTTAAAAAATATTGTAAGGTACCTACTTTGGTGCCATTTTTCAATTTTTTGAATTCATTTTGTTATTTGTGGGTAGGCTGTCTGTAACAACTATATAATACCTAAGAGACATCTAACACCTGAGTCTCTTCCGTGACCATGATTGCTGCAAAGCATTCGAAACGTCGGGAACCATAAATGAAAATAAATTCGCGAAAAAATCCGAAAAGATAGTTTTATTTAATACGGAGTGTATTTAACGGAACACCGACATATTAACAGCTGTTCTAGACAAGGCATTCGCCAAAAAACTTAAAACTTATGGCTACCATTTCCGACGTAATAACTTGATGACCGTTAAACCGTATGCCTATTACATAAATTACATTACTTCCTTCATGTACTCGTAAATATTATTCATATTGTAGATATTATTAAATCTGCTTTAATATTTTAAAGCGGTAAAGAGCGAGTTTGAAAGCAGTAGGTTTGGAATTACTGATACCATTTTGAAAATTAATTCAATTCGAGAAGCTACGTTAGCTTTGAATGGGTGTAAATAATGTTGTAAAATAATATTATATTTAAAAAGTGCAACTGCTGAGTTTCGAGTTGGCTCTTCTCAGCAAAGCTGCCATCCGAGCCGATGCAGTGCTAGATTCCTCACAGACTTAAGTCTTACATAATGACATTTAATTTAAATTTAATAAGTCTATTTGAAAGTATATTTTGATTTGGTAAGCAATATTGATTTCCATACAAAATGATAGTCTTATATTATAAAAAATCATAAAGAGGTAAAATTTACATGTATTTAGAAATAACCTCTAAAAATAATGATACGTTCAAAATGTTCTTCAATTAGGTGATAGTTATTTATCTATACATATAATAAAATTCTAACTGAGTCAAATCTGTACGTTAAATATTTTTTGGGAAATCTAATTGAAATAGACATTATTATCGATACAGAGTCCGAATCTATAGTTTTTAGAATTTTTGTCTGTCTGTCTGTCTGTTACCGCATCACGAGAAAACCACTAGACAGATTTTGATGAAATTTGATATAATGATAGCTGGTCATCCGGGTTAACATATAGGCTACTTTTTACTGCGGGAAAATATCTCATCTCTGAGAAATCTATAATAACCGTTAAAACAGACTGCCAGATAGACAGACAGACAAAACTCTAAAAACTATAGATTCGGCCTCTTCTCAACAGCAGCCCGGCGACTATTTCAATAATATATTTTTTAAATATTTAATGTACAGAATACAGATTCGACTCAGCATTTTATTACATGCATAGATACAAGTTAAAAGTTATGTCATTTCAAATACATACTCGTACATACCTTGGGGGCGAAGAGTTCTTAGCTTTATACATACAGTGTTAATATATACAGAAAGAAACACCGGGCAACAAACGTTGTTAATATATATCAAACATATTGTTATTTCATTATAACCTTAACAATATGAAGAATACGATCTAAAATCGTTTGATTGTTGGTAACAAGCAGAACTTTTGTTGCCAGGGTACAACTAATAAAGGAACCACGGCCTCTAATTTGGCATAACAATAAACTTGAGTCACCAGAATCAGGCCTTAGGGTTTTGTACGGTTATAATCGAATTACAAAAATGGAGAGAAAATTTAATTACGCTACCAGTAAAATGAGCACGGCACGGTATTGTGCACCAAATAAACAAGCAGATTAGCTTTTAATAGTATAAGTGTTTAACTAAGTTAAGTAACTTAATTTAATTATATATTTTAGGAAAGCCCAGGAGAATATTCGATGAATAATTAATTATTATTAGTTTTGAAGTGAGTAAGTATATTAACTATGAATTGACTGGCTTTACTAATTACCCGCGTTCAAATTTCTATTCTCTTAATAGTCATACTAGCGACTGACCCTCGCTTCGCTCGGGGTCGTCCTTAGCTTGATTCCCCATACAAATTTTCATACCCATTTTCACCCCCTTAAGGGATAATTTCAGGGATAAAAAGTATCCTATGTCCTTTACAGGGTCTCAAACTATCTTCTTACCAAATTTCATCTAAATCGGTTCTGTAGATCCAGAGATTACCCACTACAACGTCACAAACTCACAATTCACAAACTTAACCTCTTTATAATATTAGTATAGATAAAAACCTATTTTAGAGAGAATTAGATTCGAACACATTACCTACGCCCTAATAAATATGTTCATCGCTATAATAACTATAGGCACTAGAAAGTGCTCTAAAACATAACGATTTAATTCATAAGATAACCTTAAAAGATCCTTATTACATAATCTTTTAGTGGTCAAACGCTCACAATTACGTTTAAATTTAATCAGTGTAACAGAAAATGCTCTAATTTAGACTCAAACTTTATCTCACATACATTCGTAAAGGAGTGCAAGAGACCACATCATACAATGTTAATTGTTGTCTCTTTCGTTGCGAACTTAATTTTGTGGGTCAGCAGAACATGATGCGCAATTTTACTTCATTGTTATAAATATTTGAGATGAGTTTTAATCAATTCTGAGATGATAGAGAATTAAAAATAAATTAGGGACATCTATATACGTACATACAATAAAATTCTAACTGAGTCAAATCTATACAATATTTATTTTTTGGAAAATCTTATTTAACTAGAAACGAAATTTCAACACAGAGGCCGAATCTATAATTTTTAGAATTTTCGTCTGTCTGTTTGGGAACGCATCACGAGAAAACCACGGGACAGATTTTGATGAAATTTGGTATGATGATAGCTGGTTATCCGGGTCAACATATAGGATACTTTTTACTGCGAGAAAATATCTCATCTCTGAGAAATCTATACTAACCATCAAATCAATAAACTGCATAAAATGCGAACTAAAAAGATAAGAACTAACGTTATTAAACATATATATCTATGTTTTATAGACATGATATTTTTTTCATCGCCTCTTAAACCTAATTTCTTCTTAAAACCCCCCTCGATAGGCTGAGATAAAAAAATATATATGCAGGACGCCCAAATTGACGCTTTTTTTTTTAAATAAACAATCCTAAAATTCTAACAACGTGTAAATCATCAAAATCGCTACAGCAATTTGGTATTTACGAGGGAACATAGTCGGTCAGACATACATACATGCATACACATAAAGGTCAAACGCTCAACCCATTTAGACTACGGCACAGTCGTCTAAAAATTTTCATGCAAAGTTCAATAAAAATACACGTAATAAGTGCTCCTTGACATAATATACATCAGACCGAAAAAAAAACATTTAAAAAAGAACAAAACCATGGAGAATCAAAAGTCAAAACACCATTTATTCATATTTCCCATAAGAGTTACATGTGAGGGAATTTTTATAAGAGCAAATAAAAGGCAAAGGCGCGCAGATGCTTAAGTAATTAGTTAGCTTGGTTACCAAGATATTAATAACGTCCGTCGCACTTACGCTGGAAACTAATCCAGTACAATAGATGAATCAACGCGACGAACCAAAAAGGTTACGTGCAGTTGAATCCTCATTGCGAATGTTGATCAATGATTATTTAATTAGACACT